AATATGGTGAATGTGCCCATTTTAGTTCTACAAAAATCAGATAGTTGTTAAAATGAAGAAAGCATTTCGTTTAAAAACCTTTTGTGAGTCGTCATCATGATCTTGGTCATCTCCTCACAAGGGCAAGCTTATTTTTATACCTCGACACTGAAATGGATCTGAACTAGTAGTTCCAGAATTAAAAAAAAAATCACTCAAGAGGACAATTCGCTTCAAAAGGGCACGGTTGTTTAGTTGTATTTGATTATGATATTTACAGGGCCAATTCAAGGTCATGCCGATTTTGAAAGAGACACAGAAAGAAAATGCGCACTAATGTGAACAAAGCTTTAGGGTAAGATTAATTCGAAGTGAATTTTCAAACTGTTCATTTTCTCATCTAAAAATTCATTTCAATCACTAATTTTTTCTGGTTTTCTATTGTGTGGCTAAGGTGCATCGATTTATAAATCTAATCTTTTTTTTTAATCTTTTACGCAAAATACTAACGCCCTTAATGTAGGTTCACACCTCGGTTAACAACTCCAAAAATCCTCCACTAAGTAACAAATCCAACCACAAGAGGTTGAAAGCAATTGACGTTTTGTAACATCACAAGAAGTCAAAGACCTAAAACCCCTTTACAAACGCAAATCCCGTGCCACTACCATTAAATATCCCTAACAGTCCGTAAGCAGCGGTGAGGGCATTGCTTCACATTGCTTCATGCACCAGATATGCCGAATGGAACCGGCTCCCCTTTACCCTATCCGCTATAGTCGGAAGAGCAACGCTGCTCGCACAAAAATCAAAAGACGCCAGCTACAAAAGAGAGAGCACATCGTAATCATTTCATCTTCTAAACTGGTAGTGTTTATGCTTGCGAGGACCTTTTTGCAGCTTTTCACCAAATGAAAACGTTGCTAGTAATTTAGATAACGTACAGTGCGGACAGGGTTGGATTTAGCATTACTGCACCAAGGGGATGCATAACTTCCGGAGCAGTTTAGTGCAATTTATAATTTAAGTTTACTGAATCATGCATTACAATGTTGTTGTTAGGCTTATCAGGGAAGTATTATAATCACAAAAAATCTCGTGAAAGAGATGCTGCTTTCGTATTACAAAAATCACCTTATTTGGAATCTCTGATGTATTTTCTAAAAGGCTAAGCTTTGAAAATCGAAGCAGTAGCAACGGTACTATGAATTAAAAGTGCAAAAAGTTCAGGATGCAAGGGAGAAATATACTGCTTCGCAATTGACGTTATGAGCAAGGTCGACATACATTTATCAATCCTTGTTTCAAACCTCCTAAATATCAGTGGGCATCATCAAGTATTTTCGACATTTTACTTACTTCGCCGCTGGCGAGAAGATACTGTAATCTCGAAAAATTTCGAAAACGAGATAAGACGTTTTTTGGATATGACATCAATTTCCGTTGGTTTGTCTGTCCGCTAGCCTTTGCTTCGTCTTGGAAAATACCACTCGGATTTTGTTAGAATTTTTACGCAATGTTATTACTACGCCAAGGACGAAAAAACATTATAGGTTTTGAAAAGGGTTTCAGTGGCTGCGGATCAAAAGGCCAAATAAGAAAAAAATAAGAATCGCTCATACTTCTTTATCTGAGGATTCAGAGGATCATAATCATTTTAGAAATATGATTTCGATATATGCGTGTTGAGCAACAGGCATATGTTTTTATGCTTCTAGTGCTGATAGGTAACTGTGTGATGATGCATGCATTCGCTGCCCGTTGCTTTGTGGTCGGTACTTTTAGAATGGCGGTAGGCTAGATCACAATATTGTTAAATATGTGAGAATTATTGACCAATTGTATGAGTCTGTTTGATTGACATGATCCATTTAATTCCTTTCCAAGACATGTTCGTAACCACCTTATTTTTAAGAGTGACTAACTTGTGCCGAATTTAGTCCTTTAAGAGTTGGTGACAATATTGCTTATCAAGTGCAGGGTCAAACTACTTGACACCAGTTTTTTGAAGTGATATACATTTACTTTCAAAACTTTTCGAGATTGTATTCTGTAGGAATATTTAATGCCTGTGAGCGCTAACTTGGCGAGTCCCATTCCTAGAGGTACAGAAGAATATTTAATTGTTTGTCAATTTTTTCAATGTCGTTTTTTCATTATTTCTCGAATTCGCAGTAAATTTGAGCAAGGCTTAAAAACCAGCAATGCGATGTTCAGGATTTATGTTTGTCCAATTTGGAATTACATCCATCAGTTTTTGAAAAATAAAAAGAAACGAGTTGCTTGACAGATAAAGAAAATGAAACATAAACTTTCAGAAGCTGCTAACTTGGGTTATTTTCCATTTATGAACTTAGACGTACACTTTTAAATATTCATACATGTTATCCAATGCATAATACTCAAGATACTGAAAAGAAAAACGTCAAAAGCAAATCTGTTTCATCAGCTTTAAAAACCAGTCTGTCAAAAACCCGGGACTGAGTACGGCCCAGTATACTCGAGGATGGTTTTCGAGGGCATATAGACGGTCTGCTGTGTCTGCCTCCATTCATTTTCCTTTACTCACGCAAATTGCAACATTTTCTGAAAGGCTTTTCTCTCATTATAGCGGACCATGTCGTTTCTAAGATGGCCGCCGCTCGTTGGAAGGATGCATTTAAAAGCGTTTAGAGTCAACTGACGCTGCCTTTCTTCGATGTACTTGTCATTTTTTTTCTACAAGAGGCTCCATCTAAGTGAGCGGGAATGTAACATGTTATAAATTACAGAACGTGAGTATTTCGAAATGGAAAATACCGTTGGTTTTGACACGTATTGCGACTAAACGACGGAAAGATTTGAAGTGAAGACGAGCCATATACCTACCTAGCTCAAGACAAATTAGACTACCATTTTTTCTTGACTATTTATATTCGCCATGTTTGCCTCTGTCCAGTACATCAAGTAGGTATATAAAAAAATATAAATCCAGTAAGCATATTCATGTTTCCTAAGGAAATCCACTTAACAGTACTTTTTGCCCCATGCAAATAATAATCAACAGATTTACACTATTTATAATCGTAGTTAAAACAGACACAAGTATCGAGGCCATCAAAAAACTGAGAACTACTCAAGGTTCTGCATAAAAATTATGGATCAACTATATGGCGACTGTGACTGCAGCAATCATGCAAGAGCGTAAGCCCGCGACAAAAAAGCGGAGTTGATCAAGTAACTAGATGAAATATATATTGAATAATAATACGCATGACAACTATATAAAAAATAACTTAGTGCCTGGACGGAATTGCTGCACAGCGCTAGTGTATCCTTCATATGTATCTTTTTCTACAGAAACTGTACTTAATCAAGTTACTGCTTTAAGCTCAGCTCAAAATTTGGCATTCAAAATGTAAAATATATTTTATTTTACTTTCTTTTTGACATAAACTGTACCTATTAAGTTTCCGCACGAAACCACCACTAAATTGAAGATTATACTCTCTTATCCGAAAAAACAAGCCTATCCCTGGCAAAGGAATTGAAAATGATAAAAATCGGATGATGCTACAATCTGTCTCTGTTGCTTCTTAAACACAAATACAAGGTCATATCCAAAAGAGGGTCCTATTTAAGTAAATCAATTTGACATTGGCAATGTTAGAGTCAATGTCATTGTCAAGATCACCATTAAGTAAAATCCTACAGCTCTTGTCTTAGTGCATTTTTTTCTCTGATCAGTATTTCTTGAGATAGGAGGGGGGGTCCGGAACACCCTATATGGTTACCTTTATTTAGCCTGACTGTAAAGGCCGTCACGCATCCAGGTGGTAACCTAACCTGTGATAGTGTTGTACTAGATTTTGTGCTGTTTTATTTCGATAGTCCTTGACTATATTATGCTGGATCTGTGCACCTGAGACTTGTTCTAGGTTAGAACAAGTTCATTTTTAAGAAATAAAAAAAAACACGAATGCAGTAACTGAAAAGGATGAAGCCAGTTTGAATAGTAACTATCAGTACCTTTGTAAGCAATACAAAAAACATAACGTTTTGTGTAACAAAACTTTACATTCAAGTTTATCATCATTGATGGTGAAAGTGATGGTAACAGCGCGCGCGCTTGTATTATGCTTTTATCAACATTATCCAACTTGTCTGGGCATCCACGTTATTCGCGGCCATTATGATCAGTGCCTAGATTATTGTCATTGCCCGTGACATATATCCAATCCGTATGCCGTAAGAGAAGTTGTTATCGCCAAAAATGTTGATTTTAAGATAACCTGGTTAGATGTTATTTGACATATATAATCTATGTTACTCATTTCGTCGCTCTGTCTAATTGTCGTCGTCTATCCGTTAATCGTTAGAAAATTCATATCTCATAAAGTAGGTCCCGGACAACCCACTTGGCACTACTACTGTATCATATTGTAAAGCCCCTGGACCTTCAACGGCGGAAAGATGCCCTTGCAAAATTAGGCAGAGCTACACCATCATGTATCGCCGTTTGCAAAGCTTCGAGAGCAATTGCGTTCCCGTGCGCGAGCGCTTGAGGCGCTATCAAGAAAAGTTAGGCCAAGATTCCAGCATCATCGAGACCCGTCTGGAAGCACCTACAGCCAGCTACTACCTTCGAGAAGGAATCGGATTTTTGCTAGAAAATGCTTGAGCGTATCGTTAGTCGTCGATTCGCTACATAAATATTTGACCAGATGGCGGAAGCAGTCTACAGCGAGCGATGACTGACCATAGGACGGGGAAGCCGTAGCACAGTCAACGTGGTTATAAATTGTCATACATTTTTACAATGCTGTAAATTAGAATAAAACCAATAAGTCGGATATTGGTCATTAGAAATGATGTTATCGTTACGATATTTTGCGTAAGCAATTCATTGTCAGAGCAAAAGCTTTTTAGGTAATATTTTAGTTCATTACTCGATAACTGCTTGAACTGGAGAATGAAACAAAACTCTGGAAAACCTGAATTGAAGAGTTTTTTGTACTTATGGTTTTTTCCTGTTGTTTCAGGTGTGGTTCAGTAATCGACGAGCAAAATGGCGGCGGGAAGAAAAACTTCGAAATCAGCGGCGCTCTGTAGATCAAGTAGGCACAGTCAGTCCACCTGTATCAGCTGCAAGGCTTCCGATCAACTCTGGCTTCAACTCCATGTACTCATCGATACCGCAGCCTATCGCAACCATGGCTGATACCTACAGGTTGGTTATTCCCATTATATGAGAACTATGTTTTTTATACTTGAGCAACGACGCAGGACTAGTGCCTAAATATACCGAGCAAGGGCGCCCGTAAGAATTTTCCTCAAGGAATGTAAGGGCGGTTAAGAGATAACTTTTTGTGAAAGTGTACCTGCCTCAGAAACTTTTTGAAAAGCGGGGGTCAGCAAAATTTCCCACGGGGAGGACCAAATCTTAAAATCCCTCAAGAGTGTAATCAAAATCATGCGAATTATGCACATTTCAAGGTGCAGTTGGATTCCCAGGGGGCGCGCATCGACACCGTGCGGCTAAAGGGGAATGCAGGGAAACGGCGTGGGGGTTACTGGGAAGTCAATATTTTCAAACTGTCATTACCACTAAAGATGTAGACGTTGCCATGGACTATATTTTTCGTTACCTTTTTGATGTCTCAACTTAGCGGTAGTTATCAAATACAAAATATTTTTAAATCCAACGGTTTGTCAAAAAACATTACAACATCAATAAATAAACCTATTTTGTTCATGTTTGTTGATTGTACAAACTTTCAGGTCCCTACTGTATGTAACCGCACATGTATAACAGTCGACCATGACCAAACGAGAATTTAATTAAATTAGCTTTGGAGAGAGAAATTCTAACGCGGTGCCCTACACCAAGTTCCGGCTAGTAATAGTTGCTTTCAGGATTCAGGTACACAACTTCCCATTTTGGCAGTCCATTAGCAATAATGCGGCCGCTACTCATCGACGATTAGGCTATTTGCTAATTAGATGTACTTGTTGCGATGTCGTTAATTCAAGATCTGTATGTTGGGATATTCTTTTCTATAAAGGTATACAGGTATACCACCGGTGTTTCATAAGTAATAGATAAAGAAAACTATTCATAAAATAGGGTGAAACAACAGAAACGAATTAACTGTCAGGGTTCTTCAACTGCATTCATGGGCTGCTGCAGGGAGGTGCCAGGTGTGGCCATGGGGATTTTTCAGAGTAGGCAAACTTGATACATTTTAATAATCCCGCTTTTCAAAAAGCTTTGGAGGCATGTACACTGTTACAAAAATCTTGTCTTTGTCGCTGATCGGCCTCTCTGTGAAGAATTGCCGGGAGCGCCCATGAATGTATTTTTACGTAGATTGTTTTTAAATAATGTATTATAAAGAATCACAATCTTAACATCCTAAAAACATTTTTCCCAGCTCTTAAAATAACTGCGAAGGTCAATGGACATTCTGGAGTTTTCTTTTTCCACAGCCAAAGAACGTACAATAACATGCAACATGTTTCACAAACTACCAACGTTGGGTTATACCTTTTGCAGGTTATTAATTGCTATATTAATAAAAATTGATGCCGTCATTGACCGCGAGTGTAAAAACCAAGATTCTTAAGAGTTCCTAGAGGCGCGACTCTAGAGGCTTTAAAATGCAAAAAGTATACTATTAATCACATTACTGGATTGCACTTATTACAAAAGGGAGTCAAGAAGACGAAGTCGGTATTACTGGAAGTCTATATTTGGATCACATGCACATTTAAATCACTAAAGTTCCCAAAAAACTTTGAGCCAACTTACTAAAATCATAAAACCTATATCAGGTGCGGAAATATGGTAAATACGCAAGAAACGTATAAAACGAATGTTTCGGGGCTACTGAAGAAATCGGGCTCTGCTAAAGAACTGCTAGAGCTAACAGTTATTGCGAACTTGAGAAATATACCGAAAATAAGAATTTCAAATGTTACAATCAGAAACCAGAAAACAAGAAAATATGTCTGGTTGATTTTGAAAGCTATCTATTTCCCTGTTGGGCTGAAACAATCTGAAATGTCATTTAAGTACAATAAAAAAAGTGTATCTTGTATGAGTCACATAGTCATATTTGTGGGAAAGTTACAACGTTACAGTTTTCAAAAAAGAATATTATTAAGACCACTGAAAACGTTCAAAAACATAAGCGATTTTGGGATTTCTGCTTTCATGATGGCCTTTCCACTGTCAATGCAATTTCCAGAAATCCTTGAACCGGCAGGATACCAACAGATTTATAGGTATCCACATCGTAAAATATTTGAACGAGGTATACTTCACATGCGAAAATTTCTCCAATCACAATACGAGTACATTGCTTTTAATATACACACACAAGTCGTGACTAAAAATGGAACATCATACACAGTACCGCATTTTAAGGGCGATCTTCTCTGTAACATGTGTTTCCTCGAGGCCTCCATTAAAAAGATACGGGGTGTAGAACTTTAAAAAAATAAAAAAACATTTTTTTTAATATCTTCAAAACGGTCAACTGGAATGAACTAAAATTTGGTATGTGGATTTATCCAGGTATTCAAAAGTCTTTACTTAAAATTAACGTGCACCAGTGGCGGAGATACAGGGAATAAATGGCATTATTTTTCCAAATAAAAATAGAACGCCACTGCTTTTTTTCAAAACGCGTTATTTTTCGAATTTTACCTTCAATTGGCTACAAATATTTACTCTTGTGTTTTTTCTAAAGTGAACTGTTTTCGTAAAAATAAAAATAGATGAAGTTAGATCATTCATAAAGAGCCGAGGTACAATTAATTTCAAATTAAAATAGGAGGCCTTGATACCAGTTATGTGTTAAATATGTGTTATCATTACTACCACCTTTTTTTTTCAAATCAAGTCAAGAGTTTCTTTTTTCCATTTTTGAATGTTGTCAAATGGCATATGGCAATTATGAGTTCGCCGATATTATTTTTGTGTACGGGTTCTGTAATGGAAATGCTTTAGCGGCTTCTCGGGAGGATCAACGTAGATTTCCCAACATCTTTACTAATTTGTTTTTGTTATTTTTACGAAAATAATGCACTCAACACAAGTAAAAATGACAATTATACTGTTACACAAGGTGCGTTCAAACATTTAGGCCCGTATCGTCAGTCGTCCCTACAATTGTAGGGCGCCTTTATGGCCTCCTTGATTGTCATAGTTTTCTACTTTTCCGTGTCAGAACTCTATTTTGAGGTTATGTCACAAACATCTATTTGCATCAAATTGTGCTTGCTTTTGAGTTATATCATGTTTTATCAGCCTGAAATTTCCTACATTTTAAAAAGAAAACATATCTTCACAATAGGAGAACGCTGACGCTGACACGGGACAAGTGTAATCTAGAAATTTTTGAAGGAGAGACAGGAGTATGACAATCAAGGAGGCCATAAACGCGCTCTACAATTGTAGGGACGACTGGCGATACAGGCCTAAGTGTTCTGGGTACTTACATTTGAACCAAATCATAACTAGCAACGTAAGTCGTAGTTCGTAGTGAAATTGTCAAATTGTTGCAACTCGCAACAAAACAAGGCTTTAAAAAACAGAGACGGTTATAGAAAAGCATTGATATGAGACTGCTAGTCAAGACAACCATTTGAATTTCGAATTTGATGTATAATAAATCTAAGCGTTGTGCGTGATTTATTTGTTCGGCGTTGTTTCGGTTTCCCTTCTGTCTGTCTCCTGCTCCCTATATTGTTAGATTCTCCAAACAATATCAATCAAGATCCTACATATCCAGCAGCAAGTTGCTGTTGGCGTGTAGGTCAATCTGTTTGGTTGTTTGGTATGAACGAAGTCCGAACGTGGATCAGCGGGGGCCATCACAGCACGTTAGAAGGATTATGTGAAAAGTGCCTGCCGACTACCGGGCGATCTACCACAGTGTGGCAGGCAATGTAGATGAAATGTCAGATTACACATTCTATGCATATAGATTCGTACGAGAATGGTATGCCTGAACCAGGGAGGGTAGAGAGTTTGTTCTGGTTCATACGGAAGTGACGTTAACATATACGCCAACAATCAGTTTTTTATAAGTCATATTTATCCAATTTTGATATTTTTAAGTCAAAATCAAATCGAGCCAGTATTACTCAGGATTTCGTACTCAAAACTCTTGAAAAACCTGAGTTGAAGAGTTGTTTTACTTATGATAAATCATTTTTTGGCAAAAAATAAAGTCTAAAAGCAAACATACTTTGATATATTAATTCATTTTAAGCCCAAGTACTTGTTCACACACTAGAGATTCAAAAGATGAATTACTTAAAAAAGTAATTTGAAAAACTCTTTCCTCCGCGAACTCGAAAGGAGTGCTGAAGAATTTTGTAATTTTTTAACATTTTCTACGCCAAAGTCGCGGCACCATCGTTATCAAACAGCATAAGATTGTAGGGATTGTAGGTGGTCTAAATATAATAATGCGTTTTTTTTTCATTTTTGCCACGTACTATAATGACCGAAAACTCGAGAAGCACACATTTTCGAAATCTCAATTACGATTATGATCGCAGAACAAATATTGAATTTTTTTTAAACTGTTTGAAAAGCGCTTCAGCTATATCGTGAAATAAGTGGGAAGTTGAGAAACATACCGAAGCAACGCTCCTATTTTTTACAAAAAAATCTTCTTCACTACTTTATAGATGTCGACGACTAGAAAAACTAATCAAGGTTTGAAAATACTTTCATATTTTTTCTTTGATTTACGTATGGATATCAAACTTTACTACCACTTCAGTTGCCATTTCATCTTTACCTTGGATGAACAATCAGACTATGTAAGAGAAATAGAAGTCGGAAACTAGAATAAGAAGTTGATGCTCAATCATTCCTACATACGAAAATCTTTAGCAATTGCTAAAATTACGCATTGACAGAAATTACCTTGAACAACGAAAAAGGCAGGAAGACAAATTTACCGGCAGACAATGATATAGATTTTTGTGATTTAAACGTCATAAAAAATTATGAAGATGGATTATCAAATTCTAAAATCTTTGCTCTAGCTTATTCGTCGACAGCGAAGTGAATAGTGGGGGAATGCTCAAAAAGAGAAACATCATTGGACTGATAGCGGACTCTATGGTTAAATCTGTATCATCTCGAGACAACTAAGGCCTGACAAAGGTACAAATAGTTTGCTGTCATCATCAAAACTGTCAAAAGATAGCTACGAGCATGGGAGCATGTATAACAAAATCGTTAAAGGAGTCAAGTTAGACAAACAGGCTAATACAATTCAAATTTAGGACTTGACCTCCTGCGAAAATATGCTTTCCCTCGCTCTTTGGTTTGGAGATAGGTACGCTTTCACACCACGTTAACTCTTATCGACGGATGGCCCATGAGAAAAATTCATACGGGCGCACATGGTCGAACTTATGAGAACCTACATATCGCGTCCACCATAGCTCATAGCAGTCGAGCAACGGCAGCCAACTGCTACATACATGCATCTTTCAGACTGCGAAGCATTTCCTAACGCCACGCGGTGTTAGAAAATATTTCTCCATCATTTTAAGAATAAATGTACAGAGAAATCTATGATGAATGAAATGTCTAATAGGTGTGTAGAATTACAGCGGCTATAGGGGTATAAGTCAACCAACGTAAAAAAATTGAGATTTACCCTCCACCCACCAATTTTATCCCTTAAAATTTGTTGAAAAAATTATCGCGGGCGTCTGAATCGTCAAAAAACAAAGTCTGAACCACTGCATTTTCAAAAGCCACAGAACTTTTTCATCCTTGGCATAGTAAAAACCGGCACGGGTATCAGGCACAGCCAATAGATATACTTCATTGGCAGCATATTCAGTAATAATTTTCTCACTCAGCAAGTATCACTGATTTTATACACATGCAGACCAATACACATAATCATCCAGAAGCGATCTTGCTATTCAACCAACTTTCCTCTCAGAGAGAAAAACTACAGACAATGACCATTTGGCCTTACAAAACATATGCAACCAATAATGCGTGTAGTTTAGTTGAGTGATTCCTCCTTAGATGGACGTTCACAGTGATCCTAGTGAGCAAACATCGAATGACTGCGTCCTAAAAACTACCTAGTTTGCAAGATGGCACCTTATAGGTTTTTTTGACGTTGTATAAGTTTTTAACATCATACCCATGCGGTGCTTCCCAAGTTGTAGAGGGATCAATGATTAGCTGACAGACAGACCGTCCGAAATGAGTGACATGGTTTATTGTGATGTACATGTCAAAAACATCATAACATAAGAAAAAAACAATATGTTATTTCAGAAATTTTTCGCGGATATTTCATAACCAGTAGCGTAAGAAGTGAACATAGTTTTGAATTTGATATTCAAATTGTTCTTAACCTAATCTCCACTGATGTCTGTTATCTTCATTAGTATCTACAAGCACATCCGCTAGGTAGCGCTACCATCGTTCACCCAGCGAATACACGGGAAACAAGTATCATTACTTTCCCTATCGCCCCCGTACACATTACTGAAATGCGGGTAGCCGCGTCTCACGAACATACACAGAAGCCCCTCCATCTAGCGGATAGACAGACGGACAGACAGATTAATCCTAGGCAGAGTTGATGTGGACGTGATCTGGCCACTTGCCGCCATCGCCGACAGCGTGTCACGTCCCAAGGGAGAAACTCCTTGTAGGTCAGACACCACTGACGGCTCCCGCAGTTTCGGGAAGCCAAACTGTCACTGTGTGCTTCGGGCACCCCCGCTGCATCTGGAAGATACGTGAGACAGTTGACAGGTCATATTTAGTTTGGGATCAATATATAGTTGACAGGTCGGATGTAGGCTTGATATCCTAATATACAGGATGTACTCAAAGTTGGGCTCTGAAAAATAAGTCAAATCTAAGCAAGACATACGCCGATCCTGCATCTCGATCAGATAAAACGTGAACTCGTACGATCCGCATCAGTACTCAATCTAGGCGCTGGCCGCGTTGTTGAACAAAATCTTTATACATCGGTTCAAAAAAAACAAAAGAAGAATGGCAAACTCATACAGCAATATCGGAGTTGTCCGTATTCATTTACGGTGATTGTCTTCAAAATGCTACCGAGGCTGCTCGAGTGTATGCAGATCATTTTTCAAGATCCTTCGTGATTTCTTTTCTTGTTTGGGGCGAAATGAAATGTTTATTACATAAATCTGAGGTGAACACGGTTGACGAACTACGTGTGCGAATTTAGCAATCTGGTGGATTCCTGCGGGAAAGGCAGTTCATCCTAAAAGTCTGTACCGTTTCTTGGTTGTCTTTGAACCTATCGCATACAACCTTGAAGAATACTTACAAGTGAGCTGTATTTAAATTTTTTTTCAATGAACGGTGGGTACTTTTTCATTTATTTTTTTTTACTTTTTCTCTGATGTTTCACTACATACTAGCTTTGTTATTACAAACGTAGTTGTTTCGGAAAAGGAAAGTCCCAACTTTCACCCTGGTTATCGGAAAGTGTAAGACTAATAACAAAATAATTAAATAAACTAACCGTAAACAAATGTAGTCCGTTGTCTCTTGTATTTTGCCATTTTTCTAGCCTGGATCCATGCTAAGCCTCTTTTCTTCAAAATTTCAGCAATTTCGTCATTCTGAGTTTTCCTCGGCCTTCCTCGTTCCACTCTTCCCTCTGTATTTGCCGCTCATATGCGTTTTACTGGTCTTTCATCCTATTTTGGTGACCATCACTTTGGCTACTGTTTTCCAATGAAGTTGAATATAGAGTACACCTCAACTTCCTCTCTCACTACTTCATTATTTTATTGTGATCCCTTTGAATTTACGGAGGTACTTCATATCCACAGATTGTATCCTCCTGTATTGTTATATTTGAATGTTTAGAAAGTTATCCTAAACTAAAGAAATCTGATCCTGTGTATTAAAATTACCACGGTCCAACACAAATGTGTTTTGCTGCTCTGCTCCTTTTCGGTACCAGACTATACTAATTCAGAATGTCAAACGAAATAAAATAAATACATACAACTATAATGAAAATCCATTTTCTAGTTTCAGTTCAGTTCACTCATTACCTCTCCTAACGATGAAGTATTGTAATCGCGAAAAAACTTTAAAATGAAATGTGACTCATTTCTGTCGGTGTGTCTGTCAGCCGGTCACGTCTATAACTTGGGAAGTACTGTTCGGATTTGGATGAAATTTTTACACACCGTTACTACTATGTTAAGCACGAACGGCTTTATAGTCTTCGGAAATTGGTCAGGGGAAGAAAATTGCAAAAACAGAAGAAAAACAAATTCACTTAAACTTCGTGTTTTGGAGTTTTAGAGGATATTGATCACTTTTGAAACACTTTTAGGGGTAAACAATTTGCGGGTGGGGGTTGTAGAGCGAAGAGAAGGATGTATCGCATGTTTTGATGTCAGTACATTAGGTAATACACTTGCAACCCCGGTAATTTTACGCTCACATTAGACATTCTTCATACTTCATAGATATCCTCGTACATTTGCTCCTAACACAAAAAGATTTCCTGCCGACGTCTTCTTGATGCCATTGCAAAATTGTACTGGAAGTTGTTTCGAAGGCGTGGAAAGTATAGGGTCAATCTAATTGAAGCCGTTTTTTGCTCTTATCGGCCCGAAAGCTTTTAGCCCTGTTCGTACAGCTGTCGCCAGCCTGTCAGTGATCGTCTCCAAGATTTCGCCACACAAATTCCGTCCACTCTGCTATGCTATAACCCAGAAAGTGTCACTGACAAGTCACCGACCACTGTACGAACAAACAGTATCAACTATTTGAATTTTGATGGACTAACGGACTTTCCTTTTGTTTCAGTTCGATGCAGAATGGCCTGTCGTCCAGCTGCCTACAGCAACAACGTGACGCGGCAGCAGCGGCCGCAGCCGCCGGCTACCCGTACATGTTTCCAGATCCGCTGCACTCGTTAGGTCCCTCTTACACGCCGCCGCGCGGATGCAACCCGGCTGGCGCGCACGCTCCGCAACCGTCCGCGCATCCGGCGTACGCGGCTGCAGCTGCTGCGGCTGCTAATGCGCCACAAGGAGCTAGTGCTGTGCCAGTTTCCACGGGCACTGGTGAGTTTCATTCATTTTTTGTCAATGTAAACATGTGATGTTAACAATAAGAAGACAGGAGAGCCTACCTAAACCTAATCATTTGGCACGCTAGAAAGTCACCGTCGGAAAATTTAAGTATTTATGCCGCGATAAGCAACAACTGATATTTGATTTTTATCTTTTTGCGGACAGCTTTATATTTTACCTGTTGTTACCCGCGACTTGTTACGATTGAAATTGTCACTCCCATAAAACATTGCTTTTGAGTGATTCTATAGCTTCCCATCGCGTTTTGTAACTTTAACGACATTACTAAATAACCAGCCAACCGGCTAGCTTACGATATTGAGTTGTTTTTCTAGTTTATCTACCTTTAGATCAAAATATAAACAATTACAATGACAAAAAGCTCGGTGGTCCAAATCAACATAAAAGTTTATATCTTAAATGCAAATGTGCAAGGGAATGTGTGTGAACTGTGTCTAATAGGCCAACAGGTACAGCAGCATGCCGAGGTTGGAAGTGTATAAGTATACTAACCCCATTTGGCCTCCCAAACATCCTACAACTCCCAACACCCAATGTATAACCTTCACAATTTTTTTCTAAAAATTATCAGAAGTCTCTGAAACGTTAATAATTAAGGTTTAGTCGATTTCTATTTTTTGTTTTTTCACTTCCGCCGAATCTTTTTTTTTTCAGAATTTCGTACTTGGCATGGTAGTAACCTTTTATAAAAATTTCATCAAAATCTGAGCAGTACTTGCCAAGTTACAAACGGGCCAAGTGCCAGCGGACAGACCCACAGATAGACCGACAGACAGACCAATACATCGACGAAAACGAGAGTGTGTGATGGTTTTTCGTGCAATCCATATGAAATCCGAACAACAGAAGTCATTGTCAATTTTTTTTTCGTGATTACAATACTTTTCCGGCAATGTGGCATAGGAATTATGAAATTAATTTAATTTACCCGCTCCAAATCGACATTTTTTTTAGTTACGAAACCACTTTAGGAATCATGTTCATATGAACTTTTTGTGTTATTTCTGGAACTACTTTCCACTCAGTTTTTTGAAGCACTGTACAAGTACGTATCCCTCAAGCTCATACTTCAAACTTCAACGGATATATTGGATTAACGATAGCTGGCGACTGATTATTTAATAGTAATTTTGCGAAGTTCCGAATTATAAATTGTAGAATGTCTGTTAGTATGAGATTATTATTAGAAAATCCAAATTGGAAACGAAATTCAAACATCTGTTTAATGGAAAGGTATTTTAGATAAATTTTAGTATATAAAAAATATATTGCGGGTATTGGGAATAATCCGTTTCATTCGTATATCTCGAGAAGTACTCGGAATTAAACTTTCCAAGTACCATTTTACAAACGTTATATCATATATTATGTACTACTGCATTCTCAGTATAAAACATTCTGAATACTTCATTGCATCTATTTCCCAAAGCAGTCATTTTTTATAACACGTGGTATGGTAACCATCAAAATGACAAAATCGAGTGTTGCTTTAATTAGCCTAACCTCATTTTACTTAAAGTTCTTTTACTACTATTCGTTATGTGTTTGTCTGGGCGGTCCGTAGGACCTTTGCCCATTTGTCACTGTCTAATTTACGTTGGTCGAATTTATCAGTCCTGGCTGGAAAAAGAGAAAGAGAAGAAATAAAAATAACAGAAGTGTATTAGATTAAGAGCAAACATCTAGGTTTTTTTGATCTGGTACACGGATTAATTGTGAGGTGAACTAAAAAGAAATTTTGATTCAGGTTCTGCTACAGTGTAATTTAGGATTTAATAAAAGTTCGCGCTAATTTTTGAGTACAGTGCGAGCCGTGGCCTTGAATGTTTACGAACTTGCTCCACTGTGTGGTCCAATAAGTCACGCAACAGGGGGTCCTGTGCGATTCCGCTGGACTATAATGGCGCTGCGCCTGAAGTTTGAGTCAAGGAATCTCAAGGTCTCTGTGTAGTGTCTCGTTTGAGACATACCATGGAGCGCTGCAAACTGTTCGTAAAGTTCTGCTTTGCAGTACTCGAAGACCTAAAGTTCTTTTCTTTATGGAAAGCTAACTTCAATTAACAATATTTGAAACTTTCACATGACAGAGCTCAAACTATACAGCCTGTTACAGTATCATTATTATTTTTCAATTTTTAATTAATCGTAGTCTTGTCAAAATTGTACAGTTAAACCACTCGTGATATGCTTTCTAACAGATTAAATTTGATGGATGACGGTAGTTTCTAATGCTGATCTTGGACTATATAGATCAGGTCCTTCCAGAATACAACTGCTAAACTTCAATGGCACGTTCATTATCGTAAATTCTTTTCTACTACTACTAACCGTTCTAAAATACCACACAAGCACGTATACTTGCAGCAGAAGCATTGGCATTGCTAGATTATATTCGCAGTGGAAACCGTTCCACGGCTCCTTATGATTCGCTAAGTTGCTTGCAAGATTTCCGTGTTTCCCGAATCAAGAGGAAAATTGACGAGCCTTAAAATGGATTTCCATTTTCACTGGCTCGCAAAATTGAACCATTACCCCACGCTCAGTCAAGATGATTTATTGTGAACAGGGAAATCGGCGAACAATTATAAAGCAGATTACATCAGGATAGGTAGTCTCAATGTTATGCTGTATTTTCCAAAATCATACTAAAACAGAAGTAGTTTTCAATATTAGTATTTGATGATGTTACGTATGTTATAGCTCCTGAGAGTATGATAGCTAGAGTAACATGAGTGCCCGCTAGGGATGCCAGGGAGGGTTGTGACCTCCCCGGAGGACCCAACTGGACCTCAAACCTTGTATATTTAGTATAATAATAATCCGGCTTTGTTTATACAAATTATAAAAAGGCAAAATGTCGCTAAAAAGCCATTTTCAACTTAACCCAATGACTTTGCAGATGATACTTTCATTGCTTGTTAAAATCGGCCACTGAAAGTCCAAACATTATTTTCAACGTAACTTGTGCTTTTGAGGTAAATAGCTATTTTGAGAGAATATAGAGAGGAAAAAGGCTGATTCTTTAAGTATAGGTGTGCTTTTATATACATGTTTTTGATTATTCTTCAGATATGTATTATACATCCGTTATAAACGCTGAAGTATCTAGCAACCTCGATTGGTTCGGGAAACTGGCCTTTGTATCCGTATCAGTTACTCATAAAGATGTGATCTCGGCAGTGTTAATCTCAGAAAAGTAACTGTTCGAAGATGAGCGATATTATTTGACCTCAGAAAAAGCTTTGTTTAAGTTCCTTGGGGATATAATTCTTATAAACTCATATCACATAACTGTTGTCGAGCCTAGTATATGTTTATTTTCCAGGCGAGAAAGTACTGTAATTGCAAAAGGTTTCTAAAATAATAATTGATGCTACGAGCCCCTTCCCACTTCAGTTGGCCCACTTCAAGATTTGTACCAAAATATGCGTTTATAAACTAAACACGAAACTATTTACTTCTAAAACAATTTATTTTCTCAAAAACATTTTAGATAGACTCTAGGTCGTAAAAAATACACATTTGAAATCACTTAGACCTGTAACTAATAGAACATCTGAACAAATAAACAATGTGCGAATAAATGCGCGAAGTTAACAAAGCAACAATTGAAAGATTACCATTGGATAACATCACCTTTATTTTTTATTACGGCTGAAATTCTTTGGGGCATAGTGTTAACCAAGTTTTGCCAAAAATTTGGTGTAAAACAATCCCATACTTCTTGAAGCTTTTGTCTCAGTTCCGTGATTGTACGAGCAAGGATGTTGTCGTAGAACCTTTTTCATCTCGTGCCACAAAGTTTCAATAGGTGACCGATCTGGACTGCTAGCTAACATATTTCAAAAGTGGTACATTATTTTCTTCCATCCATTTTATAGCCGTTTTTGAGGTATCGCACGCTGCACCATCTTGCTGAAACACAAAATCTTGGCCGGATGTCAAACATTCTTCCATCACTAGTCAAAGCGATTCTTCTAAAATTGCCAAATATTTGTTTGTATCCACATTTCCATCAATAAAGTGAAGTTTTTCTAATCCTTTTGATGACATACTGCCCCAGACCATAATGGATGCTGTAAATTTCACTTTTCTCTTCAGACAGTCAACATGGAATGCTTCATTTTTTTTGCGAATAACTCTACTGCGACTGTCACCAACACAAACTTCGAATCGGGCCTCATCACTCCATTGTATTGCACACCATTGTTGAGGTGTCCATTGTCTAGGTTCTTGAGCACATCTAAGCCGATTTTTCTTTTTCAGTGGAGTTAATAGTGGCTTTTCTTTGGCCTATAAACAAGTTGTGCAACTTTAGGGTTTTTACCTCACTTTTTTTTATAAGAAAACTAACCTTGCAAGTGCTAAATCCCAGTTTGTGGGCCTCTCTATGAGTTGTGGCCCTCGAAATTCTCCTTCCGAGAGCGTCACTCTACAGAGCACATAATTGTAAATAATTGGCAGGCCTGTTTTTCACGATTATTTTTCTTAATGCTCTTCGGTCGGCATTTGTGATATTACTTTTTTTCACATATCGAGGCTTAATATTAAATGAACCAGTTACGTTATATCTTCTAACAATATTTCTCACACTGTACCCCGATAAGTCTAACGAAGTTGCAGTTTCTGAGTTTGATTTCCCAGAATTAAAAAATTTAATTATCAGTAACCAAATTTTCTCACTAATAACCTTTCTTCTAACCATTTTGAAAACCTTAACTACCCAAAACTATTTTAAACGTATTCTGACAGCTGTGATTAATAAAAACAATTGTCATCGCTTTTATTTTTCACAGCCACCTATGCGTTATAGACTTATTTTGCATTGAAATGAAAATAGGTTGATATGCTGTAATTGCAACGTGTTTTATTTTTATGCTGCAAATTTGACTAGGGAGTGATAAAGTTGGTGTGTTCTACTATATATTATCAAAATATTCATTTTTAATATTTCAAACCTACCCTGCTACATTTTTACTATTTGTGTTTGATAAGAAAAAACTAAGATTTCAATAGTTGGGCCAACTGAAGTGGGAAGGTATATGACGTGAACGTAACGAAAAACTATATAATCATTTTCCATCTGTCTACATGTCTGTCTGACAGTATGCGTGTGTGTCTGTCTACTAATACATGGCTGCTCTATAAATCGGAAGGCGCTGCTTGTATTTTGGTGAAATTTTGGTCAAGAATTTACTACTAAGATCAAGGACGAAAAAGCTTTATCGATTTTGGAAATCGATCCAGGGCTGCTGGGTACGGGCAAAATACTAAACAAACAAATATCGCTCAAATTTGGTCTGCTGACATTTTAAAGACTGCTGCTGCTCATTTCCAGAAATGTTTTTGGAGGGGTTGAAAATCGGGGGCTAGGGGTGGGAGGGTAGGCATGGGATCAATGAAAGACATTCATGTTTAAGAAGTTTCTAATTCCCATAGAACTAACCCCCTGTGAGAAATAGTAGCCACACACATTTGACACAAATAGAAATGATTTATTTTCGTTTTTACAAATATGGTGAAGGTGTAACCAAACATTCATTCAAATAATCGGTGACCGGCTCACCTGAAACTATCGGCATGTCAAACATAAACTCAGAGGACACACAATCTGGCAGTGAATCAGTGAAAAAGCGAGAGCTAGGCGTCAGGCTTCAACGGGTGGGTAGGCAGACACCAGACAGGCAGTTTTTCGTTTCGGCTCCGTAAATTTCATTGTCCGCGACGATCGCTTTAAACTGCCTCAGTGACTGCCAGGGATGTGCATCGACACTTCTCCAGCAAGGGTTGGCGTAAAAGATAGTCTGATATAAAATAGTATACGCTGAGAACAAAATTTGTCAGACGGCTTCGTATGTACAGATACATATGTTAGAAGGAGATAGAAGCCGGCTGGATAGCGAAGCTCATCACCGCGTTGCCTAGCAACGCTGACGCGGCAATCTGCCGCGTTGCCAGTACGTTACACCAATTCCTTGAATCAAGTTGCATGTTGAAAATATACATTCGTTTATTCTATACGCCAAAATAATGGTTTTATTTTGAGCGTACATATTTTTGAATTGTGTATTGTGCCAAATCTGCTTAGGATCGATTCCGGATCGGTCATCACGGCGCTTCATTTTAGGCCCAAATGAAAGGTCAGGTTCACCACAAATTCTGCAACATTTCATAATCGGTTCGCTTATCAACAACGCATCTCGTACATTCCAAGGCAAGGTTTCCACCCTCATGATCATAGATGAGCGAGTTTGATCAATACCCATTTAGCGCTCATTGGGGAGCGTCCTCCTGCTTCGAAAAGGATTTCTAATCAAAATGAAAATAAGATATTAAGTTAAATGTTCGAGCAGATCTCCTTCTTGGCTTTGACAAAAACCTAACCTATTGTAGAAGCCTGTGCGAACATTTTCAGGTGTAACATATTGGCAACGCGACAAATTGCACGACATTCTGCGTCACTGATGCTAGGCAATGTGGTGATGACCTTCGTTGTTCAGCCGGCTTCTATCTCTTTCTAGCATGTGTTGATACACACTTCTCGTGCTTCCCTCTCGTACACATTGAACTCAAGCCTTTAGACACATTTGGTTTTCCCTGCATGGAAGAGTCGATATACTTGCTTTTGGATATTTGAAGATGGTGCTATCCAAACAATTTAATTTTGTTGAAAAATATACCTATAATTGTACGAATGTCACTGCTGCAATCTATCACTACCAGAGTCATCACTGATAGTCATCTGTATTAGGATGGAATAGTATTTCAAGCCGTTCTAGAAGGTTGATACGAAACGAAAATTCTAATGATGTAGTTAAATCAGTGCTCTAGTCAGGAAATAAATTAGTGGATTTTTATTCTTAGTGTCATCAGCAATTAGGCATTATCAATGGTTTAGGCAGAGTGATTAGGTGGTCGCCTCATGTTTATCTCAGCTGGCTTAGTGGAATGTAATCTCAAATATGTCGTTATAGACATTGTTGATGTTACTGATGGTAATTTGTAGTTTAAAGAACAATGATTTTTTTCTATTTTTTCATTAATGACGCGTTTACATGTTCCTCTTGAAAAATAGCGATTTGCTTTTTGCGGCAGAATACTTTTAAACCTCACCTTGAAAGAGATAGTACTTGGTGCATCCCTACAAAAAACAACTGATTTTAGAAATGTTTCGCGATTATAATACTTCCTCGAGCCTCGCCATCAGCATAGGAAATAAAAGTTGTACCCCTTTGTTTTTTAATGATCTCCCCAAAGATACACCAATGTGTACCGTAACCGAGAAGCGGTTTTCCAATTCGCGCGGCACGCCGAACGCTCAATAACGTGCGAACCAGAAGGGGGGCAGAGGGGAGTAGAATGAGGAGGGAGAAAACAGAGTTGCCACACTGCATACTTTGTATCATTTTTTGTAGATATCTAGAAGATTATAATCTACTTATATTTATTTTCACAATGCAGATCTCATTTAGGTCTGGATAATAGTACCGATCCAAATTGGAATGGACGCCGAAATATAATTTATGTTTCGACCAAATGTATAAATTTACTTGTCTTAAGTTATAATAATAATTTAGTCATGGGGAGGGATGTCTTTTAAGTTTTACATATAGAAACATAGTAGGCCTTAAGCTTTAGTAAACTTAAATCCAAAGTTTCACAACAATACTGGTGCAGTGCTCTCACTACAGTGAATTTTAAGTGTCACCAAGTCATTAGAAAAATGGAACTCAACCGAGAACAGTTTCGCGCCATAATTAATTTCAACTTTCAGAGACAATTATCGCCACAAGAATGCCTTGCTGAGTTACTGTCTGTTTTCGGCAACGAAGCGCCACATTAGTCGACAATTTCTCATTGGTATGGAGAATTCAAACGTGGACGCGAGAGTCTTAGCGACGATCCCAGGGTGGGTGCACCAAAAACGGCAGTCACCCAGGAAAACGTCGATGCTGTGCGCAAACTCATCATTGAAGATAGACATGTGACATATCGCGAGATTGAGGCATCCTTGAAGATCTCAAAGACCTCAATTCAAAAAAAATTACATGAAGAATTAGGAGTAAGAAAATTAGTTTATCGTTGGATACCCCACGTGTTGACTGAAGAGCAGAAAGCAGTCAGGGTTAATTGGTGTCAAAAAACGCTTGACCGTTTCAATTCCGGAAACTCAGTGGTGATGAATCGTGGATTTACTGTTATGAACCAGAAAATAAACGACAGTCGACTGTTTGGATGTTCCAAGGTGAAGAAAAGCCAACGAAAGTCATCCGTTCTCGAAGTGTTTCGAAAAAGATGGTCGCGACATTTGTGTCAAAAGCGAGTCATATTGCAAAAATTCCTCTCAATGAGCAAAGAACTGTTACTGCGGATTGGTATAGCACCATTTGTTTGCTAAAAGTCATCACCGAGCTTCGAAAATTCAACCCCGAAATAAAAAGTATCCTCCACCAAGACAATGCAAGCTCGCACACAGCCCAAAAAGCAAGGCAGTATTTAACGGAAGAAAACGTGGAATTATTGGACCATCCTCCATATAGTGCCGATCTAAGTCCCAGTTCCATATGCAAAACTTAAAAGACATATATATATATATATATATATTTATTTTTGATGTCTATTACTGTATATACTGAGTGACAAAAAAAGGTAAGCACCTACGAATGTCTATTAGAATTCAAGAATTTTGTACACATCGATTTATCTTGCCATGAACAACAAGTGATAGAATGGTCAGGTTTATTGTTAAGTTTTTGTGGTGGCGGCGTGCATTATTTGTCAGCTAGACAATGCCAGACCGCATGTTGTCAGAGCCTTCATGGATCCACAACACGATCGCCTGACCTATATCCAGTTGAATGTCTGGGACATGATAGGTCGCAGGCTCATGAATTTGCAACACCCTCCGCAGACTTTCAGTAGCTCTTACTCACCAAGTTGCACTAGCCTGGAATGAGATACCCCAACAGGATATCGATCACCTTATACACGATGCCCAGAGTGTATAAGAAATCCTGGATTCTCAAAACGTTATTGAAACAGCTTCTGCAGTCAGTTGACGAATCAAGCTGAACATTTAATCATTTTACTAGTAAGGGACACTGAACATATATGCCAAACATTATTAAAATCGGATGAACATACGTAGGTGTGCACCTTTTTTGTTACTCAATACCTATATATAAATAGTCTTGGCTGACTTAGAATCCGCGACTAATTCAATGTTGGTACGTATTTTGAACTGTATATCTTTTAAATTTGGCGGAATAATATTATAAAATTTTATCCTAAACAGTAATTATACCAGCTAACTCTGACATTCTCTCGTTGACTGACCTTGAACATTGGCTGCTTGCGGTAAACTCAGCAGGAAAATAATATCTAATAACTAATATACTTTTCCGCTTGTTGCAGGTGTAATATCAGCTGGCGTGAGTGTTCCTGTACAAATCCCCAGCCAATCATCGACCGCGAATGAGCTGTCGTCTCCGCCATATTGGCCCCGGCTCCAGTGATCTCAGCTGTTCGGGTTCCCGCCGCCGGGACTCTTGATCCCGCGGGATACCCCGCCAATGGCCGCGCACATGGCCTCAACCTCAGCCTCAACGTTGGCTTCCGGGTCGCCAGCAGCTGCCACGAGAGGAGATGAGACCTCCTAGATGAAAGATGACCTACACACTTGTGGGGTAGCATGAATATACTGCCAGACAAGTAATTTTCAGCTGAGATTCGATGTTTTGAAGGGAGGAGTTGCGTGAAGCATTTTATTGGTGCCATAAACCAACGAACAGATGACCCACTCAAGGCAGGGACGCCTGTCCAAGTTCAAACATAAAATAATTTGCAGAAGTGACCTACTGCTACTTAGTTTGAAAAAATTTTGGCTACGCCCTAAGTGATCAGAAACTTGAAAAAGGGTGAAACACAAAGTTTGAAAATTTTTAGATTTTTAGACCTTTAAAAAGATTTTTTGAGCACGAGCAACTATTATCAGGAAGTTGAAAAGCCTTGAAAAATAAATGTTTCTGATGCTTTGAGCATTTTTTATTTTTGCACATAACTTCGATGTCATTTAGGCGATTCTAAAAAGTGAACCAGTTATGAGCCCACAGAGTATCGCTATTTAAAATCCATCAATATCATTGCAGTCAACTTAAAATTAACGAGCATATAAAATACCAACAGAGTGACTTCCGTCTTCAGTTTTGGTACCAGACTGTACACGGTAACTGGTCCACCACGATTGGAAATTGTAAGACCGTTGTCGGCGGTCAACGATCGAAGTTCCAACAAAATTTAATAAATCAGACACCTTGACCCATTCAAACATATTTTATGACTAGGTGAAATACCAAAGAACTGAAAACATACTGTAGAATAAAAGTTAGATGATGCTTTGGAAATGTTTGTTTTATTCTCATAACTCCGTCATCTGTGCTGAAGTCAATCGACATTATTTATTATGCCATCATAACTTGTCGCTCTACAAAGTTCGTCAATATTGGTACACCATCACCTAAGTAACGATGGTATAATGCGCCAACATACCGACAGACAGATCGAAAATGAGTGACGAAGATTCTTGTGCTGTAGAAATACAGGTATATGAAATACATAGCCTGTGTCTCAAAGCCGGATTGTTTCACCGTGCTTTTTACCAAGAAATGTCTGTTAAGACCCCTTATCTCTGTAGTTAAAAGGTTATGTTTCAAATAGACTCTTTTTGTCACGAATCTGGACGAGTTATTGAAACATGATGACGATAAAACTGAATTTTCTGTCTGAATGACTGAAGCAAAGCAAGTTGCTCGTGCTCTAGCTCTTCTTATAATGTTTCTGCGAAAAATACCTTGAGCAAGACTAAGACAATCAGTTCTGGGATGTGCGAAGGTTGCCACCCATTTTTTAGGAGACGTTTGGATTTATCTGCGCTTGCATCATGAACACTTATTATGCTGCTAAAGCAGCGTTCTCACGTAAGTTGATCAACTTAAATCGAAACGAATATTTTTGTTCACGCACATAATAAAAATTGATGCGCTAGTTGTCTCTAAAATGGCTGCCAACGAAGTTGTCCAAGCAGGCATAACAGCTATTTACGAATTATTTAATACAGAAATCAGAGACATTTTATCAAAATTTGAAAATGTCCGAAGAACAGTCTCAATTTCGATAACTCTCGAGCAGGGTATTCCATAAAGAGTCAAGCTGTTGATATAAATCCAAAAAATTTAGCACAATACTTCATGCTCATTTTTTGTCTTTTTTCCACACACATCAAGCACACGAGCCACAAAATCAACTTTATTCAATGCGAAACTCGACTGAGTATAGTTCACACGCTTCAAATCCGTTTCAACTTGTCTGTAAATCGCCTATGACGCATTAAATTGATCGATAAGTTTTGAATGAATCAAAACTTTTTCGGTTCAACTAAAATTGATCAACTAAAATCGAAAACACGGTTCACAAGTATATTTTTATTCGATTTTTGTTCATCAATAAAAAGCGTTCTACTAAAATCGACTCGTGAGAACGCTGCTTAACTGATACTGAATCTTACTTATAGTCGATTTTTTATAACTCATTCGAAATTTTTGAAAGAAAGAACAATGTCAACAATAGGCATAGGTTATTTTTAACATTTTACTTTTAAAAAATCGGTTACCTGGTAGCATAACATAGCACTGACATAGGATAGCGACAGATCATTGTCATCTTGCTCCAGATATTTTCTCGCCGTGAGCATTAAAATGGGACAAATTAATTATCAAGTCTGCCAATTACTGACAGATACCTCTGAGTGTTTGAATTCTATTTCAAATACTCAGTGAAATATATAATTTATATTGCGAATTTGCCGCCAGGCAAGTATTTAAGTATATTCCTTCATAAACAATCTTTCGAGATCTAGGACAGCCTCTTGTATGTTAAAAAACGGTTTTCATACTGTGATTTTAACCGTCAGTAAATCAAGTTTCTAAGATACGATTCTAGTAACAAGCAATGTAATATAGTTAGTTTAACAAATTGTCGCAATAGTTCATGTAAATATTTTGTAAAAGTTAAATGTAACTTTACTAATGAGAGTACAACTTACCATCGTACAAACAGTAGTCTCTGATATTTTGAAGTCATTGCACAAGTAAGTTATAAAGCTCTGACAAGTTATATTCGTAAAAGCTTCTAAAGCTATTTGTAAATAGCAATATAAATATTGTAAAATATAATACAACTTTTTCATACATGCAATAACAATCCCTGTTTCTGCAATATGTAGATAATGTAAATATAAAAATCGTTCTTTGTACATTTTGGTGATTTCTGCAATAAGTCGTTGGAAGAAAGCACTGTACAGATTCCCAAATATATGTTAATCTGTTTGGCTGTAGTATAATTTCATGTGAACTTAGTTTTTTCAAAGGAATATGAACAATCACGATGTCTATCAGCAATATTGGAAAATCTAAGTTTACAATAGAGAATATTCACATTTTTTACTACTGTATAAATAGAATTACGTAACTTATCTGTTAACAAATTTATAGGAACTCGGATGAGTGGATTGCCAGATGTTCAAATTTTTTTGGATGACCTTGGGTTTCCTATATTATGAAGTAGAGCTGAGATACGATCATAATCTTCAGACCTTGCTACATGGGACTCATCCTAATGATAGTAATCCCAAACCATTTTTCTTTAGATACGTGAATATTTCTCGTGAACTTGTACATTTGTGAAATCCTTTACCTCACTCAGTGTATTCAGAAACATAGGTACATACCATACTCAATATACTAATTCTGTCCTCAGAACTACAGCCCAGATGTTTCAGTACATACTCAACACGTTTTTAGCAATACCGTTGTTTTGCACTCTATTCTGTGGAGAAATATCTATAGTTAGGTATAAAAAAAAACAAAATAATGACGTGTGGACCTCACTGGATTCAAATACACACTGAGTTTAGCAGTATAATTGGAGCAAATTCAAACCAGATAACCCAACAGGAAATCAGGCTTTTTCTCCACATCTTTATCTATAGGGTGTATGGTGATACACACTTTAAGTATTAATCAATGTTGTGTATATTACTGTTGCTGTGATTAATAATAAAATAAGACATTAACCGCCATGGCAGTTTATGTAGAATAGTGTATACATATTTCTGTGTAGTGTGTAAAAGAAAAATATGTGGAATAAAAAATTATATAATTGAAAGAATAGTTTTTACTTCCTTTATTAATTGTCACTGAGCAGTTAGAAATACTACAAATCAGCCATGTTCTAAGCCTTCCCACGATGTAAATAACCTGAAGGTATATCGCCAAAATGGCGTAGCAGTAGCTCAGTTGGCTACGGATCAAACGTCAAAATTTGATTCTTTATCTTCATGAAATGCTTTTTTTTATAAATCGTTGGTGATCCGATTCGCACGCTTCAAACTAACTATACAGGGTATGCCATTTTAACCTCCCCACCTACAGATTTCGAAAACTGCATATTCTAGGAGTAAGCGGCGTCGACTCTTCACTTCCCAAGCAACGTCGTCAACAATTCCATAAAGGATTATGTTCGGCACAAGTAAAGACCATATCGAAATAAGACAGCGCAATAGATCTTATGTCCTGGATAGGGCGTAGTTGCTATGCTTTCGTTTTTTGTCCAAGAGACTAAGTCGAGACCATGTTGACGAGCCTAAAAAGCAGGAAACGGCTGCCTATGGGTGGCGGCTGACTTCGATAGGACGGAGGAAGGCAGGACGTTTTGAGAAAAAAGTTAGTTACGAACATGTACAGCAGAGAAACTAAACTGATCAAATCCGTCAAACGGGTCCATACAATTAGTCCGTAGATATCCTGACCCTCAGCGCCGTCCCTCTGGTAATGTCGCCTCTCCCCAATACCACGATGCGCGCGACGTAGAGTTGCCAGACGTACGAGAAAGCTCTGCATGCACGAGATTATCAGTTTCTGTGCGAGGTACGAGATTAATACAAATCTCGAACACTTTTGTACGAGATTCTAAAAATGATGAGTACGCACGCAATATAGTGTGCAAAAGTATAATAATGCTTGCAAACATGACCATCAATGGTAAGCCTTAGCTTTTTCAGTGGGACCGGTTGGTCAATAGATGGTCCGTCAAATGTGCTGGTATTCTGTAATAATGATTTTGTTGGAACGTTATCAATACGGGCCTCTCTTTTGCTGCAAAAATACGCCATCATTTAAGTAAATGTTATGCCTTACTGATTTATAGCAACTCTAAATACTCCCACTTTATACTTCATAATTGAAGACACAAGTGGATAAAGGTGTCATGTAACAAAATCATTGTATGGAGAAAATTGACTTCAAACATTTTTTATTGGGAGTTTTTACTTTATTGAAATTTTAAATATTTAGTTTAATTAGTTTATTATCTTGTTTTTGCAACAAAGTAATCACAGAGTGAAAGAATCATTCCTTAGGTTAATTTAATGCAAAAAAGCAATTTTAAAAAAATGTTACATGACACCATTGTCTAATACATTATCTTTATAGCTTATTCTTTATTTTTCATTTGCCAGCAAACATATATATTACCTTCCCTTCCTCACCGCTTCTCACGTCAAAGAAGTGAACAACCTTGCACCTATGTGATTATGTGCTGAATGTACGAGAAATTTGGCATATCTGTTACGAGAAAAAAGATCTTGGCGTCTGGCAACCCTGTGTCAGACGTAGCAGTGTGACAGAGCGTCAGTCGTACGAGCACATTTATGGATATCGGTCAAAGTCCGATGAAGCCAGACAGAAGTAATAGTAGTTTCCCCCTGTTTTTTTTTTAATGTTTATGATTCTCTGAAATGTCAACAACGAAGTTTGAGCGTATTTTTATTTTTTCATTTTTGCCTTATTTATCCGCCCCCATTGGACCGACTTTCAAAAGCTACAGCTACAAATCTCAGAAATTTTTTGCAATTACAATACTGCCTCGCCGTAGCCGTGGGAAGTAAAGTGTAAAATCCGGAGCATATACCTTTCATACGTAATACTTCCATTAAAGTAAAGTGCATCAATTTTGACTTAACCTCTAGTAATTGAAATCACTCGAATCACTCCAGAGAGGACCAGATACTCGGTATGCATACCTAAAAATTATGACCATTTGTCATTTAGCGGGTGGAAAACCTTTCTATCGTGAAGGCGTACGGATATCGATTAAAAGACGATTTTTTTATTTCAAGTCTTTATTGAGTATTCAAAATGCTAACACAGCAGTATGAATGCTAAAAGTACGTTTATGAAAATTCACATTCATAAAGATTAGTATGAAAATGGAACAAAATGATGTAAAAGCTTTGTAAAATTTATACGAATAAAAATAGCTTATTGTTGATAGGCATTATTGATACAAGGAACTAGAAGACGTCGCATTATTCTCCAAAAGCGGGCTCCTCTGTTTCCAACAGTATGAATTATACTAATATCACAAAATAACCTTCAGATACAGACGAAGAAGATTTGGTGTATTTTATTACGGTTATCGTTTCCAACACCAATTATCCATAAACTCTGTGCGTCGACGTACCTTAAAAACTGGGATAAAAGCAACCAATTGAAGATGTATATGGTTCATCCTATGTTAGATGAAAAACAGTTAATGACAGACTATTAGTGAATGCTTTTTCTAAAAATAAATTTTGTTATTGATAACATGTTACAATTCTTGTTTTCCTTAATGTTACACGCCTGATGAAGCTAATAAGCAGAAATATACGTCGCTCAGGTTACCACTCGTTCTATTTCTGCTCTTGTTCCCTTATTGCGGACATGCCCAGCATTGTCCTTTAAATGCATGATATCGCCGAAATTTAATATTTGAAAAAGCAGCATACAAATCCAATGGTACTGGGCTATTACGTACTGACTACGGAGTTGCGCTGTACTCAGGAGGAGAAGGATACGCTTCCGAATACAGTAAAGGCGTCGTTTCAGATAACGGCCTTTCCAGGGACACATTCCTGTTTGGCGGAAACGGTGACCTGTTCCTTTGGTACCGCGATTGTAATTTCACCCCAACTAGGAATAGTAAGATCCACATTATACAGAGGAACGTATCTGAAAAAATGAATCGCTTGTCAAAATGTCCTAGTAATTACTATCTAAATTGATAAAATATTAATTACACTAAATGAAAATGGTACCTATTAGTTTCATATAATACAAAAAGTAGAATATTAGGGCTAGTTAAGTGAGATATATCTGGAGGAACTGATATTTATCAAGGTTGAAAAAATGTATGCTTTAATGGCAGTATTATCTAATTCTTGCATTGCCTAGAAAAAACAATGGCGTCACGTAGGTTGACACTTCCCACGCAGCGCAGTCCACAGATCATGAAGCATCATGTTTACCACACGTTAGACGCTCTTAGAAAAAAGTTAGTTACGAACATGTATAACAGAGAAATTAAACGGATCAAGTCTATGCTCATAAATCTTCTTTCGCTGTAATATCGGTAGTATCGTCCATTTGGCAACGTTGCCTCTCCCCGAACCTGACCTCACGACGCGCCCAACGCGGCAGTAATGAAAGAACACTTATCAAGAACGGCACGACCGCCAGTGAACCCATTATCATTATAAGTTTTAAGGGTAAATGTACGGGGTAATCTATGATGTATGAAATACGTCTAATAGATGCGCAGAACTACCGAGGTCGGTATACTAACATCAAAAATCGAGATATACCCTCCTCCAACCCTAACACTCTTTACTCGTAAATTTTTTTTCGAAAATGATCAGGACCATGTGAAACATCAAAAAACGAAGTTTGTGTGATATTTATTTTTTTGTTTTTGGCTTTTTTCTTCGCCTCCACTGGACCGATTTTCAAAATCTACAAAGCTTTTTCGCCAGTGGGCGTGGAAAGTAAATAGATAAATCTACTCACACTTCATTTTTCAAATTCATGATATTTTTTTGGGAAATCCTTGTCAGCGATTATAACATACCTACCTGTAAATATCAAGAACGGTGGGTCTAAAACGGCATATCCAAAGTTTTTGACGACCACTCTTCGGAAAAAGTTAACAAAAATAAATTCCATGTTACCATCGATATAGTAACTAATAGCAGCGATAACTGCGTAAGAGCCAATCACGACACATGACACGATATGACCATGCATCATGACTGCTACTCCGATTATCATGTAGGCAATGACAATACAAGAGAAAGTCAGCCAGTAGTTTATATCTAACGCAAACGCGTTGTAATCACCTGAAAATAAAATTCCAATAATCAACACATACTCATTTGATAATAAAGATTATAAATACACGTGGTTTCATTGGCCAGAAAAAATGGGGGATTAACCTCTAGATCTGAATTTTCCATTGGAAAAAGCCTCAATATCTAGAAGTCCTAATATCTTCCTTTAAAAGCTTAAGTCTCACCTAGTTGGTTCATGGTTATGGACGCTATCAAACCACCAGAGAGTATCATTGTGAGTTGCACTGATAACAGTGGCACCCCAAATTTCCACCATACAAAGAGCCAAAATACACCATAGAAAAAGCCAATTAGTAAGGAGATCAGTCCATATCCTAAAATAAACAAATTGACATTCGATCCCAATTTAAATGTACTACATTACTTGCACGGCTTCCAATTGTAACATTGTAACAAAAATCGGCTGTGAACGAAACTAATGACTGTACGAGTATATGAGATTAAAATTTCTACTTTATTTTGTTATACAATGAATCTTTAGCATTTTAGAGAACGTGGTATGGTTTTAAGACATAAGTAGTTGGGTATTTCAATTCAGCGCTTCTTGAAGACACCGCAGCACTTATACCGGGTGTCTCAAATTCGACAGTCACCACCTCGGATAGCGGAAACGGTAATAACGCTTGAGTGGGAAAATTGCGAATTTAGGTAACTAACAAGATGCCTCTTAGAAAGTGTTGAAATTCAAAGCCCCTCCGGAAAGATACTGAAAAAAAAGGAATTTTCTCCAAATCGTTTTAATTTTTTCCTGACTTCATTTGTAGTATGATTTAGAAATAAAATGCACATTTTAGCCTCTACAAGGCGGTATAATTAGAATTTCAATATGACCTTTCGTCTCTTGTCCTCCAGCATCAACTGTATTTTTTCTAATGGAGGCCATATTGGATTTTTGAATAGGTGAATAGTGTTTTTAATTCTGATTCAAAAAATATTATAATACGTGATAGACGGTCATTGCCAAACCTTGGTTATTTCAAAAAATAAAATTTCCCTAGAGAGGCCGTGAAATTATCAGATAGTCATTTGCTTCGTATACCGGATTTATTGAAAAATCATTGTTTATTTCCTGGTTTTATATGAAATATCTCATCAATCCTCATCTACAAGAGAGCATAGTCAAATCCTGAATTGGACGTTTCTGCGTTCGAACTCCATCCTCAACTTTGTTTTTTACCGACTCCATATTTTGAATAATCAAACACAATTTTTGATTCTGCATTTATTTATTAATATAACACATTTATTTGTCACGATAAGCTCTACTTATTTAATTGAAGTAATATAATCTTAGCAGTATTCAAATATAAAAAATTCCGATATAGAAAAAACACAGTTGGTGAAAGAAGTCGAAAGAAAAAACCACGAATTGAAAGTCCGAACACTCCATCTAGTAGAAGAGAAAAGGTGGCAATGACAATATACAATTTACTTCGAAATTCCATGTCAAAGAAAGTCATCTGTGCAAGACTCGAATATGACGTACATAAGAAAAAATAAAGTTGATGCTGGAGGACAATAGACGAAACGTCACATTGAATTTCTAATTATGCCATCTTGTAGAGGAGAAAAGGTGACAATGTTAATGTGCAATCTGTTTCAAAATCTCACTACAAATAATGCCAGGAAAAAATTAAAACGATTTTTCCATCTCTCTCCGTAAGTTTTTTGTATTCCAAAAGTTTCTATCTGACATTTTTTTAGTTATCCAAATATGAAAGTTTGCCCCGAGCTAAGCGACTTCGTAACGCTTACCGTTTCCGAGATCCCAATAGTGAGGGTCGAATTTGAAACGCCCGGTTTACAAACTCCAATAAAGTTCACACATTCACATCAATTTGTTAACATCTATTTTAAAAGCCATGCAAGTGACTCATTTTGGAATTGAGATACACTTATTTTACCATTATGTGATGCATGTTCCACAGATACGACAATAAAAGTAATCAATACTCCGAATATAAATCCAATCAGAAACATAGTAAGTCTGAACATTTTATGCCCTTGGAAGCACAACAGTCCTCCAAGTATGAGTAAAACGGCTCTGCATACCTTCCAAAACTCAGACGCTAAAAGAAAACCTGATTGTACTTTTCTGTCTGAGAATATAGTCATCGGGACTAGAGGCTGGTTGATTTCATTGCTCTAAAGTTCTTATAGGTTGAATTGCATACACATTTCATATCGAGACATGCGTGGGAAGTGCTGAGTCAACCTCCTTGACGGCATTTTTTACATAAGTGAAATATTGTATTCTTTGATTGTCATATATTCTGTATGCACAATACTATATTAAATGTTCAAAAGTTCGTCTGAGGTTGCTGAAAAAATTGAAATGGCTCTCCTCAAAAGTTGCGATGTTAGGTAGTACTGCAAAATCGTAGAACATCGATGCGAGCCCCAAAACGGTGCATCTAGAAATCGAATCTTTGCTATTATATTCACTTAATGTAGGTTAGAAAAGTGTATTTCTATGTATATATAATAAGTTAAATAAGTCGTTTCTAAAAATCCTTAAGTGACTTACGATAGCGACGTTGCATATTTTCGCACCAAAAAGAGTCATGTATATAAATTATGTTTGTGCGGTATCCTGGCAATTCCCGAACGGGTATTTCGGATTTTGATTCTAGCTATTGCGGCAATGTCAATTTATTTCTACAACCAGCCCCTAACCTCTATACCGAAAAAATACTAACACAGCTCCGAACAATCGTATTTCCAATTCATAGCATCACATCCATAAGAAACAGCTGGTACATAAGCTGCACTTCTTCCTTTATAGCTAGCTATCAGAACAAATGCCCTTCCCCTGCCTCTGTAATTGCTGAACATCCTATTGTGTTTTTGATAGCCTAGATCTTTACCAACCAACCGACTGACATTTCTTATATCTTCAACAGTGAGCATCTTCTCGATGCCATCAAAGTACGTTCGACTGTCACTATCGTAGTGATTGAAATAATAGTGGAACATTTCGATTTTTATTGGGTTTTTCTCGCAAGAAACACCATAGGCTGATGGTGGTTGGCTTTTGACTGTTAGATAGTCGTTGTTGTAATTTATGACTTGGTACGGAGCTACGGGTACGTCGAAGCTTAAGTTACAGCCTCCTGGTACAGGATCTACAATAAATCATATTGATTGTAATAGATGATTTGTAGATGTTCACAATGTTTTTTGATCCCTTCCATGACGTCACAATGCATGGAAATAAAGTGGAATACAGACAGCGCAACAGATAGTGCATTAAACCAAGTGAAGCAAGGCGGATGAAATTCAGACTGTGGTCTGCAGATATGCATACAATTAAAACCAAATTTCTCTGACGGTTTGAGTTCAATATGTATGAGAAAAAAGTGTGAGAAGTGTGTGTCAGTACATGTTAGAAAGAAATAGAAGCCGGCTGAAGAGCGAAGGTCATCACCACATTGCCTAGCAACGGTGACGAAGCAGAAGGTCGTGCAATCTGCCGCGTTGCCAATATGTTACACCAGAAAATGTTCGCACAGGCTTCTACATTAGGTTAGGTCGCTGTCAAACCCAAGAAGGAGGTTAATTTAATATTTTGTTTACATTTTGATTACAATCATTTATCTCATTTCTGATGTGACTTAGTGTTTTAATTTTTGATTTACATCGAAGGTGATAAAATCAACTCATCACTATCGCAAAATGTAAGACCTAAAATGAAGCGCCGTTAGCACCGATCCGGAATCGATCCTACACAGATTCGACACAATTCAAAATTCAAAAATGACTACGCTCAAAATTTGGAGGTAGGTAATAAACTAACGCATATATTTTCAACCTGCGTCTTGGTTCAAGGAACTAGGGTAACATATTGGCAATGCGGCAGATTGCCGCGTCAACCTTGCTAGGCAGCGCGGTGATGAGATTCGTTATCCAGCCGGCTTCTATCCATTTCTAACATATGTGTCTATACCCACTTCTCTCTCATACACATTGAGCTCAAGCCGTCAGACCAATTTGGTTTTCATTGTATACTAGGAGCAATCAGAATTGTGCGTAGGGTTTAAGTCTGACAAATTTGTTAGTCAATGAGTTATAAATCCGACTGAGGTAATCGGTGTTTGCTTTCTTGTTCACAGCATTGTGATGTAAAAAGGTGAATACCATATTGCTCATTAAGCGTTAACAGGCAGACTGAGTCAAAGTTGAAATTATGGTTATTATGAAAACGATGAATTGCCAAAGCTGTACAGCTCGAATACCTTTTGCCACGTTATCTGTATATTGTTTCAAGCGAAATGTTCGGTATTTACTTTGTATTCACGTAAGCATTTACAAAGCTCTCATGCAATAGTGAGTAAAGGGCTCATATTCGCATCCATATGAACCGAGGTATGATTCCAAGTACTCATTTATGATTCAAGCCTTTCTCTTAAACTCAGAATTTCTATCCCGATAGGTCATGGAAGGGAGAACAAACAAGTGAAAACATCCTAAACCTGAGAAATAGCTGATGTCCATAGTACAGTCAATTAATGCGTTTCTTGACAACTGAGTTACTGTTGTTGAACACAACTGGCAATATGTAACATTGAATAATCGATAGTTGGATTTATTAGGAAGTCGAATCACACGGTTCAGCTCTAGATGTTTGTCACGTCTTAATGAATTTGAAGTGGATTTAATGTATATGATTTATATGATACTCATTTTTTTAAGTTTTCGCATAGGGCATCCATTCAATGCACACTTCGATTGTGAGTTCAATATACACATGGGCACAGTGGCGGCGCTAGACTAAATATGGCCATCGGCGACATCAGCTTTAAGAGGACCCTTCTAGTTATATACTAATATATTCGAATATGCGTTATAATGACAAATATTAAATAAACAAACGCAAATTAAAATAGACGAACTTTCTGCTTTTATTCCCACTGAATTGTTTCAACATTGTTTCATAACTAACACCAGCCGATATTTCCGCTTCAATTGAATTGCATCACTTGGCTCATCGTGGTTCTCAAGCAGGCCTTAATCAGCTTCAGCAAGCTTTTCTCAATAGAAGCTGTACTGACTGGAACTGTGGGCATGATTTGGATATACTTCTTCCAAATGATTTTCTAAAATCTACTAGATAAGTTGTTTTTTCATATGTCCAAAGTAGTACCTAAGTTGTTACAATGCATGACAAGATCATCCTTTGATATAGATTTCAATAGCACATATCCTCCTGAGATTATTACGTTGATTTGAGACCACAGATACTTGAAATGAGGTCATATCATTGTTTCAAATAAAATTCTTACAATTAAGGAATGAACCTCAATTCAAACGAATATGTTCTAGAGTTCTACAAACACAGTACATATATATCATAGTCACGACGTTCAAATCAATATAGATGGGTTTGGCCTAAGAGCATTTTAGTGTGTATGCAAATTTCTTATGGCTATTTTTGCTTTGACATTTTTGCAGCACATTAAACTTTTGTTTGTTGTTTTGTGGTTTCTGGTTATGTTTGATTTCGTTGTAAATAAAAAATAGAAAAGTTATCGTTAATAACAACACAATTAACCAAACAAGGATTTGTCATTTACAGTCATTGGCCAAAATTTAAAAGAACATTGATTTTATCTCTATAATGTTTGCATACCTAAACAGAAAAGTATCACGACTTGGGGATTGCCTTAGTATCTAAGCCCTAAGCCAAGATTGCTCAATGGTCAAAAAACAGGATATTTTTATAACTACCTTGTTCGACGACGCCTCTGTATGGGCAGATAATATCTCACGACTAAAGTCAAAATATTACGAGATAGCATATCACCCACAGGGTAGCACATGTAACATCTGAAACTTATTCCGTGATTTTCATGCTGATGGTTCTCCATGCTATTAAGCAAAAACGCATATGTTGGCTTCAAAAAATATGGAGAGCCATCAGGATGGTACATATTTTCAACTGCCTCAATGCTCAATTCTCTCTAGGAGCCTTAAGTAACACATTTATTGACTGCACTATTTTATGATACTCCAGACAGTGGAATTTCTTACCATACTCATCATAAACTGTCACAGCTAACAAAAATCCAACACTACTTTCAACCTTAATATTTCTTATTAAATAGAATGTTGCCGTGCTTGACAAAGAGCTCCATACCAGCCCCAAGTTGGTACCACTTACATATGCACCATAAACTATTCTAGAAGAGTTTGATAATGTCACATTCTCAAATTGGGTATGTACTTGGACAACTAAGAATCCAACATCTTGTGCGATATTATTCAGTTTTATTTTCGTTATATCCACTGAAGACGTGTAGTAATATTTGTATATATTATTGCCGTCAGGAGAATATCCTGTAAAATCCACGGTGATATCTGCAAGAGCTGCAAGAAAAATATTACAAATATATAAGGTATAAACGTTGGAGGGCGAACGTGTGAGAAACACTGTTTTCTATAGGTCTATACGAGAATAGTGAACGATGTCCAAAAACGTATCAGAGAATACGATTACAGCATTATCAATCCTACTTTAAGTTTGTAGTTCTTACAATTTTTAGTACTTCGCAATTCTGCATGGATATAATTACAAACGCGAGTTATTATATATGTTCAGTAAATCTCATAATAAGTAGTAAATATTATCTTTCTTTTAACACATCTAGTTCATAGGTTGCACCTTATTAAATGCTAAAATATATGATAAGGAAACATTTCAACATTGCAGTCATAGTTAATAATGGAAGTAACAAGAAAACTGAAATATTCCACATTCGGAAATCTATTAAAGATACTCATAACAAGATCGTGAAATAAGTGAATATGTAAAAGCTAAACACCTGTGGTGAAATAAATTAATACATTAATACAAGAAGGTTTTTTTCAGATTCACTCACATATAGTTACATAATATCAGATTCTATGATCTTATAACTGTAAAAATGTTTCAATACAGTATCAAAAATAAAAATTAGCTCCTATCTTATTTTCTTATCACTATAAGAACGTTCCAATTAATGTCATAGATAAATTAAGTAAATTGTACCCATACTTGTTTTTTAGGTGAACTTTTCGTTTTCCCAGCCTGTTCTAATATTTCATCTCACTTTTGAGGAAATGAAAAAAGTACAAGGAGCTACCCATATAATGCATTATCACAAAAATTGTAATTTCTTCACTCAGAGTGTAATAATTAGAATGAGTGCTTGAATAAATGAATGATTTGCTGAAATTTCAAAATTTGTCTTATGTACTCTGGCGCCCAACACTTTGGATATATCATATTGTTAAAAATGTATTTTTTTATTATCTTACCACTGTAAGAATGCTTAATTGTAATATCAAAATTAAAATTGAAAAGGTTGGACATAGGCGCCCAACCTGTACCACATTAATAGTACTTCTTTATCAACTTCAACTTTTTTAGTAGCAAGAGGGTTGTACAAATAAATACTAATAATGTATGTGTGAAAAAGTAGCCTTCTGTCAGATTAGGACTCATTAATTTCAAAGATTCCACTTTCTATAGATTGAATTTCATATTTGAATCATTGTTATTGCTATGATATAATGGTACCTTTATTATGCTTATCAGAGAATACCAATTTACTTTTACCTTATTTATCAGGCATACATTTTAGCTACTGAGTAAATGTTATTTGAAATTTGAAAGACTCAAATACAAAAAACTGATATCCATTGCAATTTGAGTAGAATAGCTGGTAGTGAAAAAGATCCAGAAAGCATTACAAGAACTCTGATCAAGTGGAAACTATTTACATCCAAGCATTATCTTATGATAGGTATGAATGTAAATATGTAATAACGGTTGTAAGACGCAAGAAGTCACGCATGTTCACATTCAACCATCCTATTGTACAAAAGCAAGACACATTCATCACTGCGTCAAGAAAAGTAAACAATAAGAACAAAGAATTCACGCTAGCTCAAACATATCTATCTACATATTATACTACAAACGCAGTCATAGAAAAATATCCTTTTTATAGGTTATATCAACGGCGACGCTGTGGCCAGCTGCGCTGTAAGCTGTAAGGGGGCTCAACAGGGATTCCTACCTGGCCCTATAGACAACAGGGACAATATCACGCCGAACAACATTTTGGTGGTTTCTCAGCCTCATTTGTGCATAATATCACATATTTCACTATCACAGACACTGTGATATCGACCGTTGCTTTGGTTAATCACTGCACTTCACAAAACAACACAAAATCAACAAATAACACAACCTAAAATCCCTAACTTCAGTTGTAGCCGTAAGAGGCAGATGAATGCATATTGCGGCGTTGCCAGGCTTGCTCTGAAACATGACGTTCTAGTGTTCGCGACTGATGTGTAAACCGGATAAATAGTTTATACAGGGTAATCATAATTTATATTATTTCATAGAGCTTCAGCCTAGAAAAAAACAAAACAAATTTTTGCCAAATTCGACACACACTGCGGTGCCACTCGGCGGGATCTTCTTTCTACCCTATTTATGTTCCCGAAACCCCATAATCCCCAGAAAGACAACGCCAAAATTACACAAATTAATTGAGGGTAAAAAGACATGTTTTTGTCCGAAGTCCTTTTTTGTTATGCTGTAGTTCGAAGTATTTTATAATCTTTTTGAACTCCTGTCCACTTATTTATTTATCGCATTTTTAAATCCATGAACTGTAAACGTCGAGCATGTTCTAGAAATTAAAGTACCTGGGCACTTAATGGCGTTTTCAGAACCTGAAAATAAATGAATCTTCAAGCTAATCTCATCTGTGAGATTTCATCATTTTGTAGCTCAGTACTTGATTCTTCTTTGAAAACCAATAGTTAGGAATTTTGGGATGTTTGTTGTGGAATTCACTTATTCTCGAATAGTGATCTTTCGTACTGCCATTTTCAAATCTACAATAAACACTCTGAGACACAAATAGATTTAAAAATGGAAGTGTTAAGTAAAAGTTGAATTCTCATTATAAGTTTATAACATCTAAACTTATCCTCATACCTGTCTGGCCAGTTAAACCACATGTATTAGCATATACTTTTTTACTGGTCTGCGTTTTTAAATTGTTCCAGAGTGTACTTTGTAATGCTCGGTAACGATTTCGGAGTTCGTAATTGTTTGACGTACTTAATACACGTGTTCGGAAGTAGAACAAAGGTTTCTCCAATGTTTGTTCCTTTTATTTGGCGATCAAAAAGTGCTCAAAATCTAATGTAATCTTAGGTTCTCTTATAATAAATGCAATGGTCCCAGAAAACGTGGTTAGAAATTAGTCAGCTGTGATTCCGTAACTCTGCAACAATTTAGGTGTTCTAAAAATGAAGTTTGACAATATTCCAGAGTGAAATTTCATCTATAAGTCTACATTCCATCATTGTGTACGGTATTATATAGCTAAGTGATTTGCAGACACAGAATGCAGTAAATGTTTCAATCACAAAGGTACAAAGGTGATCTTGAGAACAATGATAATATTTGATTCATCTGTCTTCCAGGTGACTGGCCATCTGTTTTTTCTATTCATTATCACATTCCCATACAGTGTGTTACTAGAATAGTCTGCAAGTAACGTAACATGCCGATATTGCGTGGTGCCATCTTAAAATTCGGAATGAGGGGAGGGGGCGCACGTGTGACGATTCACGTCTATTAGCAAGGTAATCTTCACATCAAGATACAGCAATGTAGAGATATTTTCTTAAAAGTACTGACAAACTCGGGCGTCTAGGGAGGGAGTTCTAATTCCACCAGTGTGACAATTACGTTACATTTCTTTAGTAAATTTAATACAACCCTGTCACCGTTGCTCTCACTTTGCACTCTGATGCTCATAGTCCGGAAGAATTAACCCGTAAACAATCTTATCTGCACAGGTGTCCGAGTAGCCAACAAACTGATCGAAGGCCGAGGAAACAGTCGGCAACGCCGCGTCAAGTGTCAACATGGCCGTCTGCTGCGATCAATGAATTCGTAGTGGAAAGTTGTAAAGTGGTGTTTTGTGAAATTATGAGGCATAAATGAATTAAAGGCCGATCGTGGGGCAATGGGCAAGGATCAGGAGCTGTTAGAAGCAGCCAGGAAGGGTAACACAGTCGTTGTCGAAAAAATTCTTGGGCAGAGAGCCAAAAGGAGTGGTCCGCTAGCAAGGTAGGTTGCAATCAGCTGTCAGATTTTACGGTTTTTTCTATTAAACTTTCTCCGCTTTCGGTATTATTGCATTCTGGAAGAGATTTGCAGTTCCTTAAACACATTTGAAGGCGTGATTTTGGTCTACTTCCATCGTAGGATCTACTATCGACACTGATTGAACAAAAAACCATGTCAATATTATTAAGTACACCTCAAATTAATGTATTTTTGAATGCTTAATGATAAGCGATCGTAGAGGAACACTAGAGTCTAATTACAAAATAGTTTGCTATTATGCAACATAGACCATTGGATATTCATGTCTATAGTAGGGTGAGTAGACAGGTAGTAGTAGTTTAAATAGGTTAATCCACAGGTAAGTAAAATCCTAATGTTTTCTTTGTGCTCTGTTACGTTTTCTCTCTTACAAGGTTACTGAACTGCTCATTCATTGTAAGATAATAGGTACTTCTGTTTCTCTGATGGACTGTACAACTCCTTCCTTTCGAAATATTCAAAAGGTGTGGCCTATCTAAAAGTGAATGATGATCATTCATCAAACACAGTGATGTTTTATTTTACATAATAGAAAACATTTGTAATCAGTAAGCCTTAAAAGAACAATAACATGACTGCTCCCTTCAATCTACTGCATTCAATTCTACAACGAACGTTTATCGGTAACAAGAGAAACAAAACTGGTTTTGTTATCAATATCCATAGTCAGAAGAGATGAAGTCCTAAATATTATTAGAATTGAGAAGTTCACTTGATCGAAAAAAGTACAATAATCTACGTTTCTCCCCAGTGTTCATTCTTCCCTTTCCAATAGTGTATTTTCTAATAAAGAGCGTTTTACTATTGGCCGCAAAAATACTATTTAAATCGGTTAATCAATGGTCAAAGTCTGGCGAGCCTTGCATTCTACTGGACTTTGTCGAGATATGTCTAGATACATTACAACTACTTCTAGGGCTTGATGCAAACTAAATTTCGATGGTTGAAATGTCGATGGCGCTTTCCCGATGATATATGACGATATATTCGATCCGGTATGAAACTTTTGATACTGCCCTCATAATTTTAATATAGAAGATCGCGGATTATAGGTATGACAGTAGACGTTATCAAAATTAATTTCAAGAGTCGATATTCAGTTAGAATTAGGCTCCTGGGATGTACTAAAACAGGGGCAAAGTTCAAATCTCAAGAGTATTTCGCGAACAAACGACTCGCTTACCAGTTCTGGGGTTAACTATACCCTGATTCTTATAAAACAGCGACACAATGAAGAACTAAATCAAAGCAGCTCCAAGGTTATGGTACTCTACTCCTCGATTGTATTCAATCAATCGAGGTCAATGGCCATAGTACGTCATCAGGTATTCCTGTAGGCTATAAAAGGCTATTTCCATAGGCGATTCCTTCACAGCTTTTGTAAAAACCCTGAAGTCATCAATTATTTTGGTAGCTGCCCCTAGGTAGATAAATATCTGAATTCCATCATAAATTATCGTGTTTATTTAACGCTGACCTTGGGATAGGTAAACGAATGCTGTGGTGATGTTTGAAATTGTATCATCTAGTCTCAGTTGCTGGTTGTTGACTGGAATATTTATTTTTAACCAGTCATAATGCTTTAACTATAAAAAGAAATGTTACAGCTAAAATCTTGGGCTATATGAAAAGGAGCTTACAGCCGTCTCTAAAACTAGATTGAGCTATGCTTCTTATAGCTCTTTTTGGATAATAAAGGAGTTTATTCCACAAAATCACCAAAATGCAATGCTATATCTGAATCGGTTTTATTGAACAAGGAAAACTCAAACTGTGATCAAAGACGTTTCTACCTTCAGATTTGATATATTGTTTAAATAATTGTCATTTACCAATCTTACCCGAGTTCAAAAGGCCACCACATTAATGAGGCAGGAAGGCTAACTTCTGGCTATCATTAGCCTGTTTGAACGGCTTAAATTCAGGTAAGGATGATCACATGCTAAACGTCTGGTTTTTATTCTATCAAATGGCCGTCCTTAAGCAATGTCCTTCTTCATTGATGATATACCATTGGATCATTCATGTGTGCTGGGAGCGATAGGTACACCATATCAGTATGGGCCAGGTAGCACTTGTATGGTTTATTCAAGAACTGTCAAAAATATATTACGTGCGATCAGGAAACTGTTTTAGAGCAGATCACAATACTTGATATGACCGCTTCGCATAATTCTAATACCTCTTAGTCGTATCTATTGGATATTCATGTCAAAATAAAATTACTTATTGAAGACTTCATTGTTCCTCTTTTCTGTAGACACATTATGTTGTTTATTTATGCGACAAATATGCTAAAATATGTGGAGGTTACGTCACACTTCCACATTTTTCATTTTACGTGCGAAATTTGCTGACACAGTTGTGTTAATTACCTAAGTGGATGGTGAGAATTCGAGCGAAATGGAAATTAAAAAGCGTTTTTCCACCTGTAGAGATGGCGAGTTTCGTAAAGGTGTTTGTAGATTCCGAGTATAAAAATCAGAAAACTCCATTGAGTTGCAATTCAGAAATCAGTATGGTGTATCAAATATGGAAAACATTTGGTTACATGCTCGCTGCTTGTTCATTGATATCCATCTTTTATTTATTTGACGTGACACAATAGACAAGAACGTCAGAATGCTTTCGGGTTATTTGACCAGGCATAACAACTTATAGGCTTTTAATGTATCTTGGCATCATGCTGACTATACTACTTTTAGAGTGCCTGACCGCCGGATTTTTTACAAATTCCTTTCGGCTGTATCCCACATTCTGAACTAACCAGGAATTAATTAAAAAGCGACATGTAGGCGGGCTTAACTCTACACATCAAAATTTGGATGAATGGTCGAGTTTTGAGAGGAAGTAATTTTCATGGTCATAGTAATATGCTTCGCCTCAAGTGTGGCAGTTGCTGGGAATGAGCTAGGGTCTGCTTGGACATATACTGGGATAGAATTTATCCCCGTAATGTTCCGAACCTGCATGCTTGCCCTAACCACATTATCATATCATATCAAATTTGATATAATTTTCACATAAAAACATACCTACTTGTAGATCCACAATATATCTTTTACGTTGCAGCTTTTCAGAAACTAGTAATATGGCTTTCGTGCTGTTTGGCAACTCTTCCGCATGGAGTCGGCTTGATCTCGGTGGACAACGAACGAAAGCTGAGCAACTTTTTTATATCCAGAGTATAAGGTCTATCGAAATAAGACAGCACAAAATGCAATCTCTTACCATAATCGACCACTGCGAAATTGGAATCAGCAAGCTTGTCTGTTGTGGAACTGACAATGCGAACTGGCATACAGTTCCAACGGACAGCTTGCTGTTTTCAATTTTGCAGTGGTCGATTCTGGTAATAGATGGCACTTTGTTCTGTCTTATTTCGGCAGCTTTTAAAAATTATCCTAAACATTGCCTCATCTATTTCATATGCCATCACTGTTGGAACGAAGTAACGAATCGAATATGAAAATAAAATAGAAATTACAACTCTATCTCCTCCACCTGTTCCAGCACCTGCTTTACTGCAGTCTAGTCTCTAGACTACACGACACGAATGCACCAGCTATGAGTCACCGCCTGTGAGTTACATGTAAAGGCCGTCCGCTCGTTCTAGTCTAGAGGATGCCTCTGTCGTTCTGTGACGTAATATTGTTTGCGTTTTCTATTCTTTCCGCTTTTGTATGGATTTAGCCTTGCCACTATTGTTTGAATTAGAATTGGAGTGCAGCTTGGTGAAAACTATTTTGAACGAGTACATAAAAAATGATGTGGATTGTAGGTGGATATTTCTTGTCCAAATCGTTACCAAAAGTATACTTGATGAAATGCACTTTTGAAAAACACAGCTAATTGTCAAACAAGATGATTCAAGAAATAATGGCAATGCATATACAGTCGATCAAAAAAGTATCAATAACGAAAAGATGCATTTTTTAACAGTACATTGACTAACATTCAAATAGTAATTTTTGATCGTGATAGATGGAGCAAATTATAAATAATATAAGAATAATAATAGGAATTATGAAATTCAAGGGTAGGAACGAGCTCCGTTTGCTGAGAATATTTTGGTTTTAAGCGCTAATTTATGGAGAAATCTTTGATGTGTGAAATATATAATATGGTGAGTAGAATTACCAAGGTTGGGAGCATAAATATGTACTAACATTTGTATAAACTCCTACAACTCCTTCCACCAAGTTTTTTTTACCTCTAAATCTTTTTTCAAAAATCATCAGGATCCTCTGAAACCTCAAAAAACAAAGTTTGAGCAATTTTCATTTTTTTGCTTTTGGCCGTTTTCTCTGCCGGCACTGGACCGATTTTCAGAAACTACAAGGCTTTTGCGGTATTTTGGCATAGCAGTAATATTGCGTGTAAAGATGTCGTCGAAAGCCTAGCGGTACATCTTAGGTTATAGGTGGTTAAGATTAAGATTAGAGGACAGACAGGCCAACGGAAATGAGTGACATGGTTTTTCGTGATTTTTGAAAATTTTCGCGATTACAATACCTCCCCGCCAGTAGGCGGTAAAAGAAGGAGTTGTTTCAGCCTCCTTTACGATTCAGCTGAACAGGTAGTTTGCATGGGGTAGTGCCTGTTATGTTGAACCTTGAATCCTTGAAGAAGAACCCAGTCACGATTCCATTAATTTATTATTATTTGTGTAGGGGAGACCGGGGACAATTGTACCATTTTGCCTATATTGTTCGCATGTTCTCAAATTATAATGTCTACCAGTCAGCAAGGTATGGCTGAAAGTAACGTAACTAATAGTCTACAAAATGCGGTTTTTGTAATGCATGAAACATAATACGTTTAGAAGTTATTTAACATTTAAAAAATAATGTAAAATGGTACAATTGACCCAGCCCCTGGGTCAATTGTACCAGCTAAGGGGGTCAATTGTAACATCAATATTTAATATATTTTAACTAGTTTTATTGATCAAATTTAAACATTACCGCAGTAACCAACTCGGAAAATATATAATTTGTACAAATACTTTGGCATAAAACATGAGCATTCGTATTGTCACAAATAAATGAGCAAATACACAAGAAAAATCTTTAAAAAACAAATATTCAACTTAAAACAATATTTTGGATTTTGTAATTCACAAATACCTATATCTAATAATAAAGGGATGTCGGCAAACAAAAACTTGAACTCTTTATTCAAGCTAAGAACAATAAAAGCTTAAAAACGGTAAACGCAAAATAAAAAAATATGAAAATCAATCTTGTTTCTTTAAGAGATACCCAACTCAGACAATTACTCTGACTCACAATTGTGACAAACATAGAACAAGTTTTGTCCTACACACTCTTCGTGTGACCACATCTTGCACTGTGTGCACTGGATCCATTTCTCGCCCTTTCTGCTATTCCCATAAGGTTCGACGCAAACTAGGCAAAAATATTCATTTTCGTCTTCACTGCTTTCTGCCGATCCAGTTTTTTTCTTTCTAGGAACTTTATTATTTGGTCTATTTCCCTGACTGCCTAAGTTTCTTTTTACTCGCTTTTTTTCTCTTTCCTCAACTTCTTTCTCTATTTCTATTTTCTCTGGGGTGTCTGTATAAATTGCGGACTTTCTTTTTTTCCTTCCTTTCATTGTACCTTTTCTTGGTGGAGCTTTGGAAAATGGTCTAACGTTTTCTGGGGAAAATACAACTTTTACGAATTCTGACGAAGTTGGAGTGGCTTCGTCATGAACTTGTAAAAGTTTTGCAGGTGTCCTGATAAGGATCGCATCTGCTCTTCCTTCCTTTAAACGAAACGCAGACAACGGAATATTTTCGTCACTATCTGAATCAATTAAACAGGGGATACCTGTATTGACACCTTCTAGCTCAGCAGGAGGCTTGCTGTTAGCTGTTTGCTCATTATTAACAGTCAGTTCTTGGTTTTCTGATGGCTGTAAGGGTCTATCAGTAACAAATGATGGACCAAAATCTGTTTCAGAAAATATATCTCTATTGAAGGGAAAAATACCTGTACATCTAAAACCAGCCTGAATGTTACTCTGTGTTAGTGCCAGAGGAATAGCTGTTGCAGTGATCCCTGGGATATCATATATCGTCATAGGTTTCCCTGGATGATTTCGAATCCACGCATCACAACTAGAATTTATAGCTTTCTTGAGTGGCCCATATACACAGCGGTCTAGGGGCTGCAATTTATGTGAGCAATGTGGAGGGAACGAAAGCATGACGATACCATTCGTTCTACAGAAATCCAATGCTTCGATGGTGATGTGCGATGAATGGTTGTCTAGTAGTAGCAAAACTTGAGATGAATTGGTATGATGTTGAAAATGCTTCAAAAATACTATGAATTCTTTTTCTTGCATCCATCCAGACCCATTACCGGCTCCAACACAACCTTGAGGACCATCCCGAACAAAATGGTCTTGATATCTTAATCTTGGGAAAACAAACATAACTGGGATAGAGTTCCCTAGCGCATTAACGGCAACAGTCAGCGTAACCAGAGTGCCACGTTCTGCCGATGTGATAGCACCAACTTGCTTAGTTCCAGTTTTAGCTACAATTCTGTTTGGCTTCTGGACTGTAGTAATCCCGGTCTCATCGGCGTTATAAATATCTTTCGCTTCAAACTTTTCACGGTCCATAACTTTGGCCAGATTATAGAAGAAAGCGGCAACATTGGTAGGATTAAAGCTAGTAGCCTTGAGAGACTTGTTGCCTGTGGTGTTCTTATAGATAAATCTTTATGCCTGCACATGAAACCAGAAAACCAGTCTTCACCGGCTAAGCCACTTTCAGTCCATTTTTCGGGCATTTTTAAATTATATTTTGTTGCTAATTGCAGTGCCAATTTTCTTATATCCTTGGGCGACAAACCTTGATAAATATCTGCTGCTTTCTTGATATATTTAACCATTTCGTTTTCTTGTTCATTTGAAAAAACACGATTAGCGGGCTTGTATCCCATACTAACTTTTGTAATGCAATCGACTGAGTTTTCTCTTTTCTTCTTATAACGTAATAGGGACACATGGCACAGACCAAATTGGGCTGCAGCTGCTCGAATTGACGTTCCAGACAGTACCACATCATATGCAGATTCATATAAAGATAGATCACGTGAGGCTCTTTCCGTTTTATTAATCCTTTTCCGTGGCATCTAAAATAAAAAGAAAACCCTCTTCGAAACAAATACACATCAGGGGTCAATTGTAGCGGTACAATCGTCCCCTGACGATTTGTTACAATTGACCCCAACTGTCTTTTTAAAACAAAAATGGATTTTTCTGTAATATGCACTGCTGTGTTTTTTGTGTAACTCTTACAGAAAGTAGTTAACACTACCCATAATCTAATTGAGAAAAAACATCAGGCATATTATGCAGTAAAAAAGAACTACGAACATTTGAAAAAAAAAATAAAAACTTACTTCTGACGTGCGGAAACGAACAAATACACTTAAGATACAAATGCTCTCAGCGATGGCCGCCGGCACACTGAAATCAGAACCGCAGTTGTTTGGTGACGCGCGCATCCGAGCGAAGTTTATATAGCGGTCTCACTCTAGGGCATATTTGAAATGTTACAATTGACTCCTGGTACAACTGTCCCCGGTCTACCCTACATATACACTGAGATCCAAATTTGTCTGACGGCTTGAGTTCAATGTGTACGAGAGATAAGTGTGTATAGACGCATATGTTAGAAAGAGATAGAAGCCACCTGGATAGCGAAGCTCATCACCGCGTTGCCTAGCAACTTTACGCCCAAATAGTGGTTTTATTTTGAGCGAACATATTTTTGAATTATGCGTTGTGTCGAATCTGTTTAGGATTGATTTCCGATCGGACCTAACGGCGTTCCATTTTAGGTCGAAATAAAAGCTCAGGATCGCCACAAATTCTGCAGCATTACATCATCGGTTTGTCTGCTAATGCCGTATCTTGTACATTCCAATGCAAGGTTTCCACCTCCATGATCATGGTTGAGAGATATTGGTCAGTACCCGTATAGCGCTCCTAGGCGAGTGTCCTCCTGCTTCGAAATGGCTTTCACCTGCGTACAGTAACCCAACCTATTGTAGCAGCCTGTGCGAACATTTTTCCGGTGTAAAATGTTGGCAACGCGGTAGATTGTACGACCTTTTCCGTCACCGTTTCTAGGCAATCTGGTGATGACCGTAGGTCTTCAGTCGGCTTCTATCTCTTTCTAACTTGTGTTGATACATACTTCTCGCGCTTCTCTCTCGTACACATTGCACTTAAGCCGTCAGAAAAATTTGGATTTCCCTATATAGGTCTGTTTATCAGGCAGAGCCACTTCTCTTTGTTCTCCTTCTTTCTTCTTCTTTTCCCATTCCTTTTTCTCTTAGATCGTTTGGTTTCTGATCACCCCGAGTTGACAGATTCGACTGGCTTTGCATCCTACAGACTGCTCTGACAGAGCACAGACATACTTAATTACTTACCATCGTAAAGCTACGTGGGAGCATCGCACCAACTGTTTAAGAATAACAAAGGCGCTTTTTGTAATGAGGATTTCCTCACATGATTTTTATTTCCCACGGCTACTGGCGAGGAGGTATTGTAATCCCAAAATTTCGAAAATGAGATATTTATTTTGGATTTTATATTACCTGTACATCATGGAAAACCATCTCACTAATTTATGTCTGTGTGTCTGTCTCTCTGTCCACTAATCCAATAATCGCCAGTAACCTAGGAAGTACCGCTCGGAAATGAAATGTTCACACAATGTTACTACTATACCAAGGATGAAAAGCTAGTTTTCTAAAATGGAAGAAAAATCGCTCAAACCTCGTTTTTGGACGTTTCAGAGGATCCTGACCATTTTTGAAATAACATTATGAGGGTGGGGATTTGTATATATGTTGATATATTTATACGCAACCTTGATTATTCGACACACATATTAGACATATTTCACACTTCATAGATCTCTCCCTGGATTTCTCCGTACATCAGCCCTTACAACTTATATTTTCAGCAGATGGATTTCGTACCTACCGGCCGCGTGTGCTACTTTCCGGCCTTGGTAAGTATTCTGGTATTACACGAATTACTGCCGCGCCTCAGGATAGCATTTCCTATGCTGTGGCGGGGCTGCCACGTTTGACCGGGTTAGATGTCGGGGAGAACCGACGTTGTCAGATGAACAACTGTTAGGGCAGGAAAAGAATGTCTATGGACTAATTGTATGGACCTGTTATACAGACTTTTTTTTCTCTTATGAAGTGATAACGGCGTTGCGTGGGAAGTACAGAGTCAACCTACATGACACCATTTTTTCCTCTGGCAGCATCATTAGTAAAACAAGATGTGATAACCCTGACAACATTATAGCCTTCCTGTGTTAACTATTCCTTATATTCATATTTTATATTTTACGACTTCCTATATTATTGACTACTGAGAAAAACTGAACGATATTTGCATTATATTCCCTATAAATATGCATCACGAAGCTCATTTATTCATTGTTTATATTATATTCCATGTAATAGCAAATTGCATTATGACTGATTATAATTTATTTGCAATTCATCAATCCATGTTTTGATTTATGTTGCGGCACACACAAACACCTAATTGATATCCCAATGCAGGCATCGATGCATAAGCTCGAGAAAGTTCAGTTATTAATTTAAGCTAATGAATACAAACTACCTGACGAAGATAATAATAATAGTAATAATAATAATAATGTTTATTTGCAACACACAGTTAGGTGAAAATAGTAGCAAGATACATTTAAATGAGATATGTTATAAAAAAGGGCTGAAGGCATTTAAAAATGATACAAGTTCAGCCCTTTACCTATTACACATTCATATATACACATATACACACGTACATACATACACACATATATATATATATATATATAATATACATACATATATAAAAGTAAGATCTACCTTAGAAAGCCTCGAATAATAGTTTTAGAATAATAGAGTTATAGTGCAAAAAAAATCTTTTTCATTAGTTTGGTCGCTTGTGCCTCATTTACATTAATGGGCACTGAAGTGTTTTTCAAAAATAATTTTTTTATATTTGATTTTAAACTGGTTTGGATGCAGGATTTTAAAGTAATTAGGAATTTGATTGTAAAGTCGGTAAATGTTGTATGAGAAAGATCTACAAAAAAGAGAAGTTTGATGAGGAGGAAGTGATACGTAGCCTCGAAACCACAAATTTACGTTATGAACATCGGTGCGAAAAGTTATTCTATTGAATGCTGGTTGCTTAAAAAACATAATTTTTTGAAAAAGATTACATGCATTCAACTCACATCGACATCGCATGTTCAACCAGTTTGCATCAAGCAACTTATGTGAAGTTTCAAACTTACGTATAACAAATAAATCGTAGGCAGGACTTCTGTACACGTTCAGTTCTATCCATGTCAATCTTGTCTAAACAAAACCCATAAACGCTGTTACAAAAATTAAAATGGCTGAGTACTAGTACTTCACAAAGCAATATTTTAAGTTTAACAGGGAGGACATATCGATGAGCATATAGAACTTTTAGAGAAACATAAGCTTTCTAGATACATTTATCAATATGAGGCTTAAATCTTAGATATGAGTCAAATTCTACTCCCAAATTTCTCACAGTGGCAGAACAAGGTATAGATTCAGTTTTTATTTTGACTTGAAAACCGGGCTCAATATTGTCTTTCAATGTGCCAAATAACATGAGTTGTGATTTGCTTGCATTAATCTGTAGACCATGATTTTCCAAAAATACAACTATTCTTTCAATATCTCGATTAATAATGGCCAATGCATCACGTTTCTCGTTAGGGTTGAAAGAAAAACAAAGGTGAGTATCGTCAGCATGCAAATGTACCTGACAACTTCGGAGACATTGGGAAAGGTTTGAGGTATAAATACTAAAAATCAGAGGTCCTAAAATGGAGCCTTGTGGAATACCCGATAGGACGGCATCTTTGGAGGACATACCTTCATCTGTTTATACATATTGCCTTCTGTTAGTTAAATAGTGGCACATAAGCGTGCTAGCAGATTCGGAAAACCCTATATAGTGTAAAATACCAAACAGCATTTCGTGATTTAGTTTATCAAATGCCTTGGAGTAGTCCAAGAGCACGAGAGCGGTGGTTTTTCCGGAATCTGTTGCTTTGAAGATGTCGTTAGTTATATTTAACAGTACAGTTTCGCAGCTGAATCCTTTCCTAAATCGCGATTGATGGTCTGGTAACAAATTGTTCTCAGTTAAATAATCTCTTATTTGGTGGTCCAATATAATCTCCATTAGTTTTGATAGCACTGGTAAAACACTTATGGGCGAAGATCATTGTAGTCATTAATTTCAGACTTCTTTGATATTGGTATCGCCATATAGATACGATTCCTTATAAGAAAACCATGAACTAATTTCCTCGGAATTCTTATAGACCGAAAATTACAAACTTCTTGATCATATACTGCTTTCCCAGGTACTACCTGCTTCACTGTCCCACACCTGCCAGAACCCATTTTGATCTGCAGTCCTGCCACGTGACTTAACCATTACCTCTGACTCTAAATCCAACTATTCGTCATTTGTTTGTCTGGGCGGTCCGTAGGACCTTTCCCCATTAGTCACTGTCTGATGTACGTTAGTCGAATCTGTCAGTCCTGGTTGCCCAGAAACCAGACAAAATCAAGGAAAAAGAGAAAGGGAAAGAGAAGAGCAAAGAAAAAGATATATGCTTAGTTTAAGAGGAAACACCTAGGCTTTTTTACCAGTACACGAGTGGGCGACAAGTGCAGTGTCGTCAGCATAGAGGTAGACTTCACAGTTGCTGGGGGAAGGGACATCATGGATGAAAAGCGAATAAAGAATTGGTCCTAGGACCGAACCCTGAGGAACACCGGCCCGTACTCGCCGTGTTGTTGACAAAACATTGTTAATTTTGATCCGAAACTTCCTTCCTTCAAGAAAGGATTTCAGTAATTTTAGAAGCCAAAAAGGAAAACCCTTTTGGATTAGATTATAGAGGAGGCCCGCGTGCCACACCTTGTCAAAGGCCTTTAAGACATCCAAAAGCAAGATGCCAGTACTCATGCTGAGGGTGAACCCTCTGGTTACAAGCTCCACCAGCCTGGCTGTCTGTAGCTCGGTGCTATGC